CATGTTGTACGAGTCACTTAGATTTTACAAATACGTGAGCCGTTCACAGCCCGGCACACGTATTTGTAAAATCTAAGTGACTCGTACAACATGGAATTCATATAAAACGGAATTATTAACAGTGTTATAAGGGGGTCGACTGTATTTTGAATTTGAATAGTTAAGTTAAAAAATAACATTTTTTTATAATAGTTCATTATTTTAAATTTCCCCTTCTTTATTCTTCATTTTCAAATAGAATTACATGACTTTATTGTAAATAAATTGAAATTGTCTTCATATTTGGTTACTGAGATACAGGAAATGTATTTAAATTTGGTTTTGTGAGATCCACTGTTAAATTGATTTTAAAAGATAAATTCACTCGAAATTTATTTCTGCTGAAGCATTATTGGGAAACAAAGAAAGTTTGCTTCAGGGAATATTTTCTAATATTATTTTTCTCCCTGATTTATGCAAAAGATCGTGGCTCAGAAAACTTTAAAAAAATCTTTAAAACAATGGCATTAATTTAAGTTGAAGGATATTCCCAATAAGCTACTTTGTTCTACTGACAAAATAAGTTTTTATAGTTTAGTTATTTAACAAATCAGTTTTCTCCCATTATTTTAAATCTAATGCTTCGTTAAAAACTTTTTAAAATATTGGAACTTTCTAAAGGGCAATGTCGTCTTCTACGTGTTAGGAAAAAATGTAAGATCTCGAACAAACTTCTTCACAAGTGAGATGGGAACTTTGAGAATGAATGTTACATGTTAAAGTGTACGGTTAAATCTTCTCTTCTTCGCTGAAAAAATGCAAATGATTCTAAATTATTGGATAAATATTTAACATTTAAACATACATACAATATCACGTATTTAAAAAAACAAAGCAAAAATTTAACTTTACAAATTTTTTAAAAATAGTTCTCAATTTTGGTCGAAAGTCAGTCTGTCAAGGCGTTAATTGACTGAAATTCATGATTATTATTATTTAATTTGGTACAAAATGAACCTAATTTGGATCTGTTCTTTATAAACTATTTAAGAATGCACATTTTTATGATAAATATTTGATAGTTGAACTTAATATAAGCAATATCTCAGACCCGTGATGGATCATCGCCAGTTTTGAAAGAATTCTTTCTGAATATTTGAAAAATTCCTCTTGTTGTTAAACAAATCTTTTTATATTGGTATAGTACCATATGATTGACAGAATGTATTCCAAAAGATTGGAATTTTACAATATACTCAATAATACATAAAAAGGGAGACAGGAATAACCCTCATAATTCTTGTCCTATTGGCATTTTGTCTGTTTTTAGGAAGATAAATAACTTTCTAAAATCGGCATCCAATAAAAAAAATATACTTAAGATGGTTGAATGATAATTGGAATGATCTGGAAAAAATCATTTTCATTTGTTAAAAAGATGATTGTTTTGCGGATTTATCTAAAGCATTTGACTCTATTAGTGTTGAAAAATTAATTATTTTTCAACACTTATTTATAATATAATATTATTAGATAAATTTATTGATGTATTTGAGTATACAGGTTAAAGTGGTTAACCTTCGACAAATGAAAAAATTCGGGTTTATATATATATAAACCCGAATTTTTTTCATTTGTCGAATGTTAGTGTGTATGGGGGGAAACGATTTTGTTTGCAAGACGGTATATGTATTAGGAGGATTAATGCTATTAAATTTCGATGGTTAACCACCTCTTCAGACGCTCATGACCATGTTATTGTGCAATACTGGAAAAGACTCTTTGCACCTGGACAAATGTTAAAGTGAACATGCTCCTTACTGTATTTCTTCCATTATTAGGAAACTAGGATGCTATCCGTTTCTATCTTAGTAGGATATTATACGATAGGATTTTGTATAGTAGAATAATTCTGCAATGACCTATATATGCATTCGAACCTACTAAAAAGATTTCTGGGTGTATCTGTGTTATCAATGTAATTCGCGATTTTATATATTCTTGCATATCTTTTATAGTCTACTTTTAATACTATAATATTGGTATTTGTAGATATCTATAGTTATAATATTAGTAATAATTATTGTATACCAAGGACTAATACTGTAAATTTTATCTCAACATGGTATCTCACTACTACAACAAAGTTTTCATTATAACTTTGGTAATTTTAAAATCTAACATTCATAATAAATTTTTTTTTAATCTAGGAAAAAAATCTAGGAATGTTTAACAGATCAAAAACTTGTCTTTTATTATATTTACAACCTTTATTTTCAAATACTATTCGACATTAGAATAATGTTTAAGTTTTTGAATAGGTTAATACTAAAATAATTGTAATTAAAATTTATCGTAACAACTCTTCCCTCATATTTATGCAATAAACAAGGGGAAATTTTTAATAAAAGTTAGAAGAAAATTCATTTGTAATATTCCACATTTGTATCACTTGAGGCTATAATATTTGGTATATTTTTATAGTGGAGACTTTCTGTAAATACAACGATATTAAAGTTTCAACTTACAAACTAAGGCGACCTTTTTTAAGTTTAAAAAATGATTTAAAATAAAAATAAATGACTATTCAAAACGTATTTCTTAATGTTATTAAGTTGTTGAAAGGGAAATTATTTTTAACATTAAAAAAAGCTCATTTAATTAAGTATATTTTAATTAATTATTTAAAGTAATAAAGTTAAATATTTAAAATGTGTTAGATTTGGTTTGTATAATGTTACCTGTTAATGCTAATCTGAAATAATAATTGCATCTTTTTGCTTCTTTGTATTTTATAAATTTGATATTTTATTATTGTTATGAACATCTTGTTAATGGAGGGAGGCAACTTTTTCCTTTGGCATATTTAATGAATTTATTTAAATTTATATCTATATATAAATAAGTTTAATTCAAAAATAAAATATGCATTTACTTTCCTCACTTCATTCATATATATTTAAAGGTGTTTATTAAAACATTTGTGTTACTCTGCTTAAAAATTTAATGAAATGTATACTTTCAAATATAATGTGTAAACTTTAAGCTTTCTTTTTATTTCATTAATCATGATGATTCAATTAACTTTTTATTAGCTTTGTAAAATTTTAATAATAATATAACCCTGTTACTTTATTATTAGTAGGAACGTCTTACTAAATTGATTACAAAGAAATAATAAGCAATTAATTTCACTTTTTCCAAATAATTAAGATGGAAAAAAATTTTTTATTTTATTATTTCATTTTCTTGATTCCTTATACACAGCAATTGCAGATTAATGTTGAATTAAAATGGAAAAGTTCTAATACACATGACTGCTTACAACTGAATAATTCAGCTTCTTGTGTAAGGTTTATAGAAAGATTTAAAAAGTCTGTCAAGCTTATTATTTGAAGTTCCAATTTCATCTATATTTAATATATTTCAGGGTATTATTTTTAATTGCTCGAAAACAATAGTTAATGGGGCTATTATAAATACAGTGGAACCTGGTTAACTCGAATTCGTCAAGGGAAAATATTAGGGCTTGGGAGTTAAAAAGTTTAGAGTTATGGAGGTTCTGCTAAATATTAACATTTTGTGTATTGGTTTATTGGTGACCCATAAGACTCATGGAAATTTTGTATGGATAGTTTATTATTACGCTTTATAGAAAGTTTCTGATTAGTATAATCGATAGATAAATGTTAATTATTTTATTTTAAAATAAAATAATTTGGAGAGTTTATGAAAATACTGTATCAAAACCCCATTCAAGTTACAGTTCGACGAATTCGAGTTAATTAGTTTGATTTAATGTGTAAATCCCTATAATGAATGATCAGAGAAAGAAAATGACTTTGAGTTATCCTAGTTTGAATTATTTAATTTCTACATTCAGGAGAAATCTCTTTGCTATGCTTTTTAGTAGTACAGTCAATTCTAAAAACAATCCATAGAATTTCACAATAATAAATATAATTTAGAATACAGAATAGAGTGGAATAAACTTGTACACTATAAAAATGTGCTTATAAAAATATCAAATACAGTAATTAAAGCATTTTTCTGTTTTGCAAGTTTACTAAACTGCAAAGTTTGGATCAAGTATTAAATTATTTGTATATTTCATGAAACAGTTTTTAACGTATAAATATAATGTAAAAGAAGAAACTAATCTCAATTAATTAATAAAATGATATTTTAAGTACAGTAGAACCTCGAAAACTCGTCCCTCGATAACTTAGCACTCCGGATAACTGGTCCACACCTTGGCAGGGCGAAAAAATCCTTAGTTAATTAATTTTCATTATAGACAGCTTTATAAAAGTATAAAAGCTCTCATAAAGTATTTTTCTGAGGTCTGTCTTATCAGGTAAATTACTGTACACAGTGTATTCATTAATTTTCATTTTCATGTAGTGGCTCTATGCCTTCATAAAGGACGTACTTTTCCTTTGTTTAAGGGTATTTGGGCAGTTTATTCTCTGTTATATTCTGTACAAGTAAATACTGTACAAGTACAGTACAGTATTTTCTGAGGAAATACTCGTACTTATTTTTTTTAACCCCATTCCCGATAACTCGGCATTTTCACAAACTCGGCCACCCTTCGGTCCACATTAGGTCGAGTTTTCGAGGTTCTACTGTACCAGTTTACAACTTATACACGTTTCGTAGAACAGTAAATTGATATAGTTTTATAAAAATTTAACATGCATATAATTACTGTTATAATACAATTAATTCTTAAAAATCTAGATATTTATTGCAAAAACAATACAAAATAAGTACATCAACAGTATTATTACATAGTCTGATTGCAAACTTTTTTTAATTAATACAAAAAAACATTTAATTAATAGAAATCTTAGTCTATATTGGTAAATTTATTATATCATTTATAGTATTTTCAAATAATACTTTAATGTATTATATATTATTAGTTTATTAAAGAATTAAATTCATAAAAACATTTATAATATAAAATTAGCAAATTATATAAAAATATAGAAATGATATATGTTATGTAATTAATAAAAAAAAGTGTCATATTATTGATCAATATTTTTTATGATGTTTGATTGTAGGGATGGTAAACCCTTTTGAATGGGCATGCCAGATGCTAAGCATGTTGTCTTAAAATTTTGGTTTGAATAAACATTTTCCAAGCTTTGAATAATGGGTTTTAATGCAGTGCCCCTGCATTAAAACCCATTACTGCATTAAAATCCTGACCAAAATTTCTTGCAAAATTTTTGGGCATGCTGAAAGTTATAATAAGAATAATAGGCCTATCTCTAGCACTAAACAATAGGCAAAACATTATTTGGTGTGAATAAAAAAGTATGAGCTATTATATCTACACATGAAATGTGTTAAAAATTTATGATGATAATTCAATTTTTGTGGCCCTTGACACTGGGGGCCCAGGGATTAAGCTCTATTAGTCCATACGTAGATCCGCCCCTGTACACAATACATATACGCTGACTGGGTATTGCAAGCTTTCGATACTTTTCCTTTAACAATAGTCATTCTGGTCATCTATCTAACACCTTCCAGGGGAAATTTTGATTTGAAATAATGTGACTTTTAGTTTGCATCAGTTCATACATAGTTAATCGGAAAATCCTGCCCTAAGGTTTCCATATCTGGTCTCATCTTTCATCTACCTAACTCCATTCTGAAGATTAAGGAAAGACAGACAGACAGACAGTTGGATGACAGTAAGAATTTATAGATCTACAATTATTTCAAATTGCACAAAATCTTTTGATATGTTGTGAGCCAGATAATTTCTCTCCATATGCTACTTTGAGTACACATTCCATAGGTTTACCATCCCTCTTCTACAATATAAAGTATTGATTTATTATTATTTTTTAAAATGGAAATATATATATATATATCTAGCATATTAATATATGTGAATCTATTTCATTAATACATTTTCCATGCTTTTAATATGTTTAATAAAATACAACACTTGTTAATAACTTTTGTTACTTCACAAAGTATCAATTTTATGTGCACATTTTTTGTTAACTGTTACATTCTATTCTGAGTGATTTTTGAAACTTTTAGTAAATGTTAACCTTGAGTTAAAATTTTTAACAACAAACATACTAACAGAATAGTTTCCAAAACATTTAATGAAACGTTTTTGATCTATTTTAAACAATTATTAAATATTTTAGAACAGAACAGCAATTTGATAAAATTGATATATTGATAGAATTGGCTTCTGATTGGATATAGTGTTGAACATTCAAAATAAGATCGCCAAGACTGTGATAAGGTGTCATTGTCCTTATATATTTCTAGTTTCTCTAAGTTCTTGAGACATTCATTTTGTATTCACCTGCTGTGACACACCAAATCCAATCAAAAGCCAATTCCATCAATTTATAAATTTTCTGTGTGGGTTATTGTTCTGTTCTAGAATATTTAATAACCAGTTGATGGCTGTTTAAAATAGTTGAAAACATTACATTTCATTAAAAATTTTGCTAGATTTTTGATATTTGAGTGGTTGGTTATTGTTTTGACGTCTAGTTGCTGTTTTTATGCATTATTATTTATTTATTTATTTCATATATCGTTTTTATAAATCTATAAAACATTTCTGGTGGAAGAATAGAGGAATTTGTTACATTATCAATGAGTATTGTTAATTCTCGAAATGTTTCCTCTTCGTACTGGTCATACAACTTAGGAAGTTCAAGTTCATCATATACTTGCTTTATTTTTCTGACTGCACTTTCTTCATGAACACCAAAATTTTCCTAAAATTAATATTAAATTATATTATTATTTTCAAATAAAATAAATAATTATAGTAGAATCCCAATTATCTGGAATAATGTGGACCAATGCTATTTCAGATAACTGAAAACTCATAAAATGGATGACTACAGCCATTTTAAATTAAAAGTTATGAATATAAAAAATTTATATAATATACTATATTACTTTTAAGCCTCTTTTTATCTCTTATTGAATTTAATCATATATAAACATTTATATTCTTAAAATATAATTATCGTAAGTTACATTTTAATAAGAATGGCTTTATCTCACAGTGAAGTTAAATGGTAAAATGTAACAGAAACAAATAATTTTGTAATATATGCTTTCATTTTAAATTTTCTTTTATGAATTACAGTTTAAGTAAAGTAATGTACTCACAGGTTTGCCTGAGATAATATAGAACCTTGGATAATTGAAGTTCTACTGTATATTATTAATTGATAATCAAATGCTTTGTTGCATAAACATTGATACATCTTAAAGCTTAGCATGTAGTAGTAATCAATGGAATAAAAGAGAGCAAATAAAACATTTATTACAACATCCCAGCACAAGAAAACATCATGGAAGAACACAATTGTTGCATGTTAATAAGTTTAAAGCCATCTCTGACATTGATCAGTTTACATTAATTGCCAGACAGTTTGCCAAATTGTATCATGTTGATCAATGTCAGATGTGATTTATTTCACATAAAGAGATTACTTACTATAGCACATCATCCAGCATGCAATGGAATTGTCAAATGATATAATGTCAATGTGAGTAAATAAATAAAAGCAAGAACTTATACTGGAATGAATAAATAATATAAAATAAAATAAACCTTTAACTATCCAACAATAAAAAATGTTTAATAAAAACGTTTTCAACCATTTTTAAATGCCCATCTTCAGTTGAACCAAGATTAAAAAAGAACACTAACATAAAAACTAATTTAAAATGTATTTCATGCATTCTTTTTTTATGTTTTTATGTTAGTGTTCTTTTTTAATATTGGTTCAACTGAAGATGGGCATTTAAAAATGGTTGAAAACGTTTTTATTAAACATTTTTTATTGTTGGATAGTTAAAGGTTTATTTTATTTTATGTCAATGTGAGTTAAATCATACTATATAGCTAGAGATCAGTGATATGGGATTTGATATGGTATCCATTGGTCCCAATATGCTTTATTTGCACACATCACAACAATATACATTCAACAGTGACAGCAGGGATCCTATCTATTGATTTGATTTAATTACAAGTCCCACAATGACTAGATATGATATAGACAAAAATTTTGCTTCTGAATTAAAATTCAGGATAACTACAACATATGAAATATTCCAAGAAAGCAGCAAAAGAAAGATAAGAACATTACCAACAGAAACAAACCATCCAAGTATCACACAGGAGTCTTTCTAAACAAAGTAAAATGAAAGCTCACACTAAAATAGTCGAGTCCATATTGGATTATAGAGTTAAATCTAGTAAATTTTGTAACCAAAAATATACAAAGAAGCAACTATATGTGCATGCCAATAGAGTGAAACCATCTATTGACAGGAATCCAGTGCAGCAAATACTACAGATACAAGTCAACTCCACTGGCAACCGGAAACACATGTACATAGAAAAGGGCATTAAGAACAGGAACTAAATCCAACCATAGATCCTTGGGACAAATTTATTTTAGCACATCAAGCAGAACCAGAAGAGGAAACCAACACAGGGTCAACTACTGAAGAAGAGTCAATAGAACCAACACTGCCACATCACTAGGCATTAAGACGAGAACCAGTTGAAGAACAATCTTGTATTCTCCCTCCAGCTTGTAGGAGAAGAATACCTATATTTATTTCATCTTCTAAGTAAAATTTCTGTATAAATTTAGCTAAAAACTCCAAAATTTAATAAACAACATTCAATATACTTTCATCTGTTGATAAAATGATGTGCACGGTTTTAATATATCATGATCATTACTCAAAAGAGAGAGAGAGAAATGACACCAAATTTGCACTTTAAAGAAGATATAGATAGGTTACTACATCACTATATGACTTAATCTAATGTTTTGTTATAATAATAGTAGTTGAATCTGATACTTTAACTTTGCAGATGCAGAAACATTTGTTTATATTTGTTTAATGTGTCATGGAAAATATAAATGCAAAGAAAGAGAGAGGGGGGATAACATCAAATTTGTAAAAACACCCTTCATTTAACATATTGATGATCCTGTTAAAATAAAATATACCACTTATCCAATCAGTGTTTTGCTCAAAAGTGCTAGTACTTCGTTGAAAATCCACTTGCTCTTTACAGAGTGATTTTGGAGATGGTCATCTGTACATTGGGGCACTTAGGACATGTGTTCCCTTTTTCATCTTGGTTGCCCTTTTCCTAATCCCAAAGAGGAAACCAAACAACAGAAAATTTGTGACTTCTATCATATTCTGCAAATATAAAAGAAACTAATGAACAATACCTGTTGACTGTCAATGCAACTTCATCATATGTTGACAAAAACACCATTCCTTATTTTCAAGGCCAAGTTAGCTCTGAGTGCAACCAGCACCATCTTGTGGGAGTGCTGACCTGACATTGAATCATAGAATTTGAAGCTCCTTGAATAATGTACGTTGGCCCCCCTTTTTTTATAGCTTGTGCCATGGCTTGCCATCCATGGAAGCTGTAAAAGTGCAGCTTTTCTTGTATTGTCTAAAATATAAATACATATGGTGTGATTACTGTATTTTTGTATTTTAATGTACTTTATAATAAAATATTAATTTTAATTAATTCAACCGCATTATGTATCTTATCATATTTTTTCACATGTATAGAAATTTGTAATAAGATTGTTATTGTATATGCATATTTCCAATGGAAGTGCTGTATTATCGAATACGGGATAGCTTCCACAGAGAAAATATCTGAATCATGTAAAGCAGCCAGATTATACGCATTTGCGCATGTGCTTTACAGAGCCCAACTTCAGGCGATTTAGCTGGATTTCTATGAGTATATTGTCAAGGAATGTTGTGTCGGGACATCAGATCATCCTGCACCCTTTTTGTACTGACTTCTGCCATGCTACAAACTAGCACAGAAGGCTTGTGCTGGTCAACTGTTCTTTGTATTTGTTTGTTCAATTACACTGTTTGACTGTAAACTATGTTTATCATTATACACAATTTCTTCACTTTTAGTATATACCATTTAGATTTCTTATAGCCCTTTTAGTTGTGTGCAACTTATCTCCAAAATCCCAAAGTTTCTCTCAACAAGAACTGTTGGTCGACATTGAAGACTGATTTTCTGTTCGTAGACATGGGAATTCTAGTTTAAATTCAAAGGTACCAATACATCAAGGGACATCATTGAAAACAAATCAAACTCTTTAGATCATAGTTTGAATGAAGCATTCTTGATATGAAATTGTAAGCTACCAGTTTATAAATTGATTCCATTTACTGTATAAAGGCATATAAAGGCATTTTGCCCTAGTATGTCTACCATCACCCCTTGCTCATCTGGACTTGAGTCAAATTAACTTTGAATCAAACTTCTCCATCTTCCCAGTCAGCAAACCTTATATTCACAAAAACAGTTGATCTAAGACATAATTTCAGCATTTCAACAGCAACTATGTAATTACTCAATAGTGATGCTTATAAATTGCCAGTAGCCACACATGTTATTGTGCCTCTGAGTCCAAGTTTTTTTTAAAAAAGTCAAGAAGTAATGTGAAACTGCACCAAATAGCAGTTCCATTCCCCAAGGCGACTTTTTATCAGTTTTTGAGAATTTTCTTTAGCCCATATTCTACAATTATGGACAGCAACATACAGATGAAAACAAACCTAGCATCAAACTGGCAACAAATATATAGGTAGGCAGACTTATAACTAATAATAACTATTTTATTGTAGTCTTGGATAACTATATGATGGCAGGATGGCCAAACAATTAAAGTATCAACCTACCTCTCTGGGGACTCAGGATCAAACTTAGGCTGTCTGTCCTGAATATGTTAGGCTTTGTCCTTCACTTGCCATTGTGGACTTGGCTAAATCTATGATCATTGGGCTCATAAAAAGTGACCACAGAGTGGAAGGTATTCTTCCTGAAAAAAATCAATCAGTCTTTGGCCCAATGGATAAGCTGTGATCACTTGGACTATAGGCCATCATAATTATTTTTGTTGGATTTTTTGTTGATTAGTTGTGATCAGTTATTTTCAAATTAGAAATTACAAAAGGCATATCATAGCTGAATGTCCTGGTGAAAACTTTTGGAACTAAAATTTTCATAAACTTGCATGGAATGGCTTCGATAACATAAAGCAAAACTTTTTTGTAATGCTGGTAGATAGTTTTAGCTGTAGACTGCTCTAAACAAGCAAACTTAGATACACAGAATGTCCACAAAATTATTATAATGCAAATATCTTAAATTTATTGGAATATGACATAATAAACAAAAAGTAATTCTAACAAGAATTACATTAATGTATCTGAAATAATAACTAAATATATCAGTGATAATGAAAATGGCATAACTCAAAATAGGTAAATATTGCAAAATTTTATGAATAGTTTTTTTAATATAATTGAATTTATTTCACATACTATTATGCAAAAATTAAAAAAATGTTTAATTTTTGCAAAGTCAAATTATATGACTTGTTAGTGATTATAGTGATCTATGTATATAATAAAAATATCATACAAAGAATTGAAAAATACTTATATTTACTTTAAGAGTAGCTATTTGTTCTTCAGATGCTTTTTTCAAAGCAGTAACAATCATCCAAGAACATTTTCCATCTACAATATCTGTACCTTGCTTACCCATAATCACTGGATCACCATAACAATCAAGATAATCATCCTATATAAAAACAAAAATTAAGAATTTTATTATTTTATTTCTATAACTTTGAATGTGTTTAATCATTAAAATATACTTCAAAATCAAATGATTCCTTATTTTTAAATGATAAGGAACTACAAATAAATAAAATTCATTTTAATGTAATTATATTTTAATAATATAATTTAACATGAATGAAGAACAAATTCATTCTTAATTTGAAATTTACAGTGTATTAATATCAGGGCTGTGGAGTCGCATAAAAATCTACCGACTCCGACTTTTCCTTACCATTCAACTCCTACTCCGATTCCAACCAGGGACAGACTTGTTACCAAAAGAGACCCGGAAAGTCTGACGTCACCACGTGACCTCAGAATAAAAGGTTAAATAAATAGAGTTCTAATACAGATAGAACATAGAAACTTTTTATTCCAAAGCTGAAAGACTCCTCTAAGTAATATATAAATATGTATTTGATAACTTTTACTTTTCTGGCTGTTATATATAACAGAGGGAATGTGTAATGCTCAGTCAATAAATTACCCCTCCCAAATTTTTACATTTTTGGACTCAGGACACCTTGAAATTTCAAGATATAGAAAAAAACATGGAATCTTTTGCATATGTGTGGATATTACTGTGTGTGGGGGCATAATTTTGTTCACCCTGTTTGAAGCCTAATAATTTCTGTGGTCAGAGTGGTTGGAATCGGAGTCAGATGGTTTAACACAGGAGTTAATAATAATTAACTCCTGTGTTAAACCATCTGACTCCGATATTAAGCGTCAGAATGATTGAACTAAATCATGTCCCCATACACATTCTAACATCGTAGGTGAGAATATCTTAACGGGTTTTACTGTACTATTATAAAATGACAAAAAAAGTTTACTTTGAGAGTAGAGATATGTTTTATTTTTCATTTTTTAAATTTTGAATGCTAATAACTAGTAAAATATTCATTAAGACATATGACACATGACCCCTTTTATGTCTTCACCCTGTTGACCTTTAATTAAGAACCAAAATTTAATAGTATTAATGCCCCTTTATACGCAAGCTACAGTGCCACATTTCGTTTCTTAAACTTTACCCATTCTGAGATATTGTTTAATATCTCAGAACAGAAAATAAAGAAATTAAACAAATTAGATGCCAACACACACATGCATGCAAATTTTTCCTCTTATTGACTTTTTTGGGGGTTTGGGAGGTCTCCAAATGTGTATATTTGCAAAAGAAACATGGAGGGTCAAATTTGACACGATTTCAATACTTTTCCGTTGTATATACATAACAAGTTGGGAAGTAAAAAGGAGTCTGAGTCGGCAGATTTTTTGATGACTCCGACTCCGCAGCCCTGATTAATATATAAACATTTTTATATCAAATGCTTTATGACTTAATTTCTACTATAGTTCTCTTTATCATTTGGTTAGAAAATTTAAATAAATAGTCTAATTAAAATTAAAATTACCTTTAAAAGTCAATTTATTTAATTTCATTAAATGAAATTAATATATACAATTATATTAAAAGGTTCTAGAATTCAGATTTGTAAATTTGGTGATTTTATACAAATATAAAAACTTTCTAAGCTGCAGTTGAGCAACTAATGAAGATTGAAAAAATTTGATATATGACCTGGTAGTCCAAAGTAAAACCATTTAAGGCACAGTCATAAATTACAGAAGGTTCACTTAGTCGTTAAATGAGGAGTGTATGTACTTCTTTGGTTGATAAACAAACAAATAATGCTGAGTGCTGTTTCTACAGCTCGGTTATTAAACAAATTGGTTGATAAATTGTTTAATTGAAGTTTAATTGTTTTTACAGTATTTGGTCTAGATAAAGAAAGGTCCAAAGGCAACTCTAACTTGATAACTTTGTTTTAATTTGCATCTCTTGCATATTACAGAACATAAAAATACAATCAGCATAAATTATAAACATGATGTACCAAAAAATTCATTCGTAAAAAAAAAAGGTAAATAAGGCTTAAAAAGCCTTGGTCAATGTTTTAGTTTCTTTGAGTATATAGGACCTTTTTGGGCATTTTTCCAAAAAAGTCCAGTTTCATCCACTTTGAAGATCTGTTCAGAGTGGTAAATGCCTTTCTCAATAATTTTAACTGCTGCTATGTCAGAGTTTGCCACCTCACTGCTAAAAGTTCAATTATGCAGGTTGGATAAAATTTTGAAACGACCCATGGCTTGCCATAAATATTTCCATCAATTCTTTGCCTTCACATACCTTCAAAGTCTGAGAGATACTGTATGCCTTAGTTTGAATTATTAAATAAAAGAAACATTACTAGTGATCTGGTTTAACAATCATTGACATTCTATTTTATATTTGAGTCTATTTCATGAATGAAACCTTTCTACTGCCTAGTTATTATGGCTTTAAATTCTGTTGATGCTTTTACTGTCTCTTTCACACTTTGTCCTTCAAGATCATTGAAGTGGTCAAATGCAGCTCCAAATTGTGTGCTACTATTTTAACTTTTTTTTTTTACCAGTTTTATAATTGTTTGTGATCTTCTATTAGTTCTAATGTAACTGGATAAATACAAAAATACTATATTACAAAACAAATTTTATTTAGAAACTGATGGAGTTTTAAGTTTAATGAGACAAACAAGTGTTTTCAGTGATATTAAACTACCATCATCAGGTTACATTTGAAAATGGAATATTTTTAAATTTTACAGTTGTCTTCTCTTGATCAAACAAATTTATGACTATCGCTGGATCTCCTGGAAAGCCTTCCATGCTTATACAAATGTATTATCATCTTTATAATAGATTGCAAAGTGCACTTTACAAATTTCTAGTTTTTCTAGGTTCCAAACATTGGCTCAATTTTTTGAATGATATAGTATGGAGGCTTGGTCAAAGATAGGATGTACACCACTGTCCAATGTAAATGCTGTAAATGTTTGTTTCTTTCTAATGGAATATTGGTGTTCCTTTATGCATTCATGTAAATGCCTCCTGGTAGCTCAAAAATAATATAGGCATTTGCCTGTTCTATCATCCATTTCAGGTATCAAATAAACCCGAGAAGATCATGTCTCTTGTTTCTGAGGACTGTGTAAACTGAGAGACTTTAAAGGCCAAAGAGATATTGTTGGCTCTGGAAATTTCCTTGAAGTTGCATAAAATGCAAATTATAAGTCACTATTCTAAATTTGGATGTTTTTGTTGTTTTCTTTATAGATTGATGTAAGTACTTAATTAGGTCTCTGATGATCCCTTGATTGTATCCATATTCTGCTGCAATATTGGTAATGTAGCAGAGCTCCTATTTTCTACTGTTAAGGTCTAAAGAATGTGTAAAGGCCCTCTTTATTGGGGCTATAAACCCAATCAATCTCAAAGAAGTAAGGGTTGTGCCAAAGGGCTGGAAAGGTGGCTTTCCACATTCCAATCATTTAGAGTAACCACTTCTCCCAGTAGCAGGGTTATTTATTGCAACAATATTTTGTGTGAGGACCCGAACAGGGGTCGACTGAGAGGTCCGAATTATGGGTTCGATCGAAAATAAAGAGCTCCTTTTCAGACGCTAAGGAAACGGATTAGGTGTCTCGATTGAACAATGCAATGGGTTTTTTCGGAAAATTAGTTAAACAATGGAAACGGAGAAATTCGAGGAAAACGCGACGAGAGAGAGGATCATATTCAGTCGCTATGTTAACCTCTCCCGCGCCCTCCATTAGGTTTCGAATTGTCACCAGGTGACAATGAGAGACCAATGGAGAGGCGACTTCTGTAAAAAAATCTATAAATTTGTGCGACTCAAGAGACGAAGGTTCTTGGTTTGTAGTTTTTGGTTCTTGGTGTTTGGATACGTAGTGTGTCGTCTCCTGGACGGGCGTGCTCCAGATCTTAGAAAAAAAAGGACATTTTGGAACATCGTGGAAGCATCGTTCTCTGGGTGCTCCTAGCAATCGACAGATTCGTCGGATCATCCGCGAGAAGCCGCCGAAAGCCGTAATCAACGCCCCGGGGCCCACCGAGTGTTTCACCAACAGCGTCCATCCACTAGTGACGAAAACCGACTTTTACGAACTTTATTTCGAACTTTATCCGTGCGCTTTGGGGTGCTACCTCGTCTAACAAGTAATTTGTAAGGAAAATTTCTATGTTTAATAAACGGTTATATGGTAAACCTGTCTCAGGAAGTCAGTCTGCACCCACACGACAGAAAGAACCGCTCGGCTGTCGAAAAAACCTCACCCTAATCGGCTGACCTCACATTTGCTTCCAAATCATCTACTGGATTCCTTGAAGTTTGAGCTCCTGTAAGCACCTCTCCATAATTCCACAAACTAAAGCAGGTTATACTAGAAAACAAAATCCTTCCAGTCTTCAAATACATCAGTTTATACTCTAGGTATGTTGACAATATATTAATAGTGTTGAAAAGTACTCCTATTCCTCAGTACTTTCAAGAACAACCTCTTTGGTCTCCATCTAAACCTAGAATAGTTGCAACAGTCAACCGCCATGAATTATATGTAAATATGTTTAGTTATAGTTTATATACATTTCTAGAATGTTCTGTTGTTCTCTCTTGTCTTTTCACTTCTTCTCTGGATCTCAGAGGTAAATGAAGATAGTAAACTAATAATTTTGACAACACTAAATATTGAATATAATATTATCTAATTCTACCTCATATACTGATCAAACAGTATTTATATAAAAACCTTGATTATTAGTAATTTAATACATGATGACAATAAAAAAAAAACAAATATTGAATAAAAATAATTAAGCATAATTTACTGGATCAATTTTGGGCTGTAAGAATGATTAAGCTAACAAATTTGATCAAAAAGTAGCTAAGTTACCTCTTTAATTTCTAATTATTAATTTTAATATACTGTAATTAAATAGGTTAGAAAACTCTAAAAGAAAAGAAAGATCAACTTGGAAAAAACTCAACTTCTGTTTGCTATGCAGATGTAAACCACTTAGACTTATAATTACTTCTGATATCATATAGTCATATGATATATGAATGAAATCACATAGATTAACCTGGATAAGTAAGCTTAATTTATTTCCTTATTGACAAGACTGTCTTGTTTATAAAATCATACTGCCCGATGTTCTTACCAGCATAGAGGTATAAAGGAGTACATGTTGAGAGTTGATATTTGGCACAGAGTATTAGGTGCCCAAATCATTTGCGCATAAAAAAATCCAGACTCGTAGGTAGTCAGGAGACCGAGGAGTCAAAATAAAATACAAAATAGTGACCCTCTTCTACAAACAGGCAAAACAGGCACCTCACCCCACCAAAGTCAGGTGGGGGAGAGTACCACCCACAGTCATTCTAAGAAGTGAACGCTGACCTTAGAAAAAACTACGTGTTCAGTCCTATATTAAATAAAATTTGTAATCTAATTTTGTAAATTTGGGAGTGCTTCAAATATGATGTTAAAATGGTTTTATGCCATTACAAGTGGTTTTTTTTAACATTAATGAAATAAATTTGGATATATTTTAATCTACAAATCATTTTATTTTTTTTTAACAGTTGAATAAACATTGTTTTATATTTTTCAACTATAGAATTTTAATCAAGTTCAAAAAATTAAAAATACTTATTATTTTCAAATACACTTTAATCTAATTTATAATAAAATTGTTATATTTTACAAACTTACTAAAACTTGAAAATATTGTCCAATCTTTACTAAAATTTGTTCTATATTCTTAAGATGAGTTTCATTTGTCCAGCCTACCTTCATTAAAACAGTTTTAGAATATCATTAACATTTTAAAACATAAATATACATGAAACAAAAGTAAGATATAAAAATCTATTCTATAATTTCTATATTATTCTTTAGAAAGACTTTTGTTGACTATTTCTTCTAATTATAAAATGTAAGAAATTTGAATTTTACATTTAATGTATCTTAAAGTTAATATTTTAAGTCTGCATACATTAAAGAGACATTCCATGCTAGAGAAATTAAAATTTATAAATGATTAACTAAATTTTACTACATACATGGTTATTCAAAAGTAAGGCACCAGAGGATGCTTTCAAACATAATACAGTAAGTGATCAATTAACGAACAAATCGGATAATAAACACTTTAGCAAACGATTTTTATGTTCAGACAATTAACACCTCACAGAACAAACACAAGAAGAAGTGATGTAAAATAATAAATACCAATTGGTCTTCCCTTGTCTTCAGGCAACAATTTGAGACTTTTTGGAGTGTGGGAAACGTCAACATTGACGCTCAAACCGGTATATACTCTTTAGATAGATATATAGATAAGTATATACTCTTTAGATATTGATAGTATTCCTCTATAAAACTCTCCCTCGTAATTCCAGCCTTTTATTTTTCTGACAAGAGCAATTCTTTTATAGTATTCCCAAGACTGTCGGGCGGGCACCCGTTCAGTTTTCCATGTTTTTTTTTCGAAAGGTGAGAGTATAATAGCAAAGGTAGAGAGTGGGCAGAAGATGTCTAATGTTGCTGGGCAGTGTGGTGTGAATGAACAGGTCTACAGTAGGCTGCAGTTCAATCTTATTTAAGAAAATACTGTATAATCAAGAAGAAATAAAGAACACTAAAGAGCTCATAATGGAACCTGAAACTGATTGATGACAGAAGAACACCAAGAAACTTGGTGAGATATGTTTTCTTCTGAAAAAGAGGATTAATGCCGATATCTGCTATTAAATACCTTTTGAAGAAGTGGAATGATGTCAGAATAATGCTCTTAGAATGGCATCCAAACCAGGTTGAGGTTAATAGGCTCAGGAATCTCTACAATTACAATACTGTTAATTACTTCTGAAAAATCCTGAAAAAGAGAGATAAGCAATCAACATTGGACAGATTCTTTAACCCCCACAAACAGAAAAAACACGACTAATAAAAATGCAAGACTGTGTATATATGTATTTTTATTATTACATATAAATAAACATAGTAAGAAAGTATATATTTTTTATTTTTCCAGAACAAATTAATCAAATTTCCATAAAAACCTATGGTAAATCGATAATCGGTTAACAAACAGTCTTGAAATGGATTATGTTTGTTAACCAATCACCCACTGTACATAATTGTCAGGAAAACATGTAATTTATGGTGTAAATTAACCTAGCATGCAAATATCAAGCTGCACCATACAGTTTACGTATATAATAATTAACTGTACAGTATACCTTGATGATTACAAGTTCCTATATTGTATATATATGATTGTTATTTGCATAGAAGCATCTGCTGGTGCATTACTTTTGCACCAGCAGGTATAAAAACAGCAAGAGCTAATCATCTTACTAAAAGTGATTACATACACAATCTTATTTTTTTCCTTTAATTATTTTAATATTTAACAATAAAGTAAAGATTAAAATTCATTTTAAAACATGCTTCCAAACAAAATATTATCTTTTGTCAATGATTTAATGTATTTAATCAAAATATACATAGCAATAATCATGTTGCAGATAGAGTGAGAAATCAGTGTGCATGCTTGCCTGTATGGCACATAAATTCTCATGTGCAGCAACAATCTGAGCAGTGCATAGCTGCACAGCTTAGAGAGAACCTTGTTCACATTCCATTATGAACTAACTTAATATCTCACACACGTTTCTTTGTGCCATACTTCACTTCTATATTAAATTATATTTATAGTGCATTTAACAAGAAATTTGGACTATGTCTAGAACCTCACATTTACTAGAAATAACTAATATAATGAAAAGAAATTGCTCTGTTTCATTCACAAGTTTAAATGCACTAGTGTTACGGCTAACGGGAATCTTAGCCAGGTACAAGTTCAAAGTGATGAGTTCGTACCCCAAGGTTCAAATCTATTCTGGGGTATAACTTCGTTCTTCTTGCGTCTCGCACTGATCGACGTCCTCACAACCAGAGACCAAACCAAAAAGTGACTGACCCTGCGGTTCCTCTCGTACCGCGCAGGGTTATTCTCCCAACGACTTCCGTTTTCGCGGTTAGGGGTCTTCCGCCTTAGGGGCGTTTAGTCATAATCCAACGAACAATAGCTTCGCGCTACTGGCAACTCGACCAATCACATGTATGGTACAAAGTGTCCGTTACAACTAGTGATCCTAAATATTTTTTCCAGCACTGTATACTATATATATTGGGAGAGAAAGTCTAAAACCAAACTTAATGTTTATGACTCATTAAGATTATATTTTTAACTTTCCAGGCAATTTTGAAAACAGAAATGTGAACTAACACTGTTAAGATGGCTTGTGTGATACACAGTTGAAAAAAATAAGCAATAGTAGATTAAATCTACTCCCTTATTCAATCTCAATCTAAAAGTAGTGGAGGTCATAACAAGAAAAGTTATGAATACATAACATAGAAATAAAATGTTTATATAACATAGTTTTTAATTTTAATTAAATATTTTAAAACAAAATGGTTTTCATGATTATTTTTGCTAATCAGTATTGGAGAATCTGAGAGTAATATTTCAAGTGACATCCTTTGCAAACATGTTGCCAAAGTTTTTGCAACCCCAAATGGTGTTATGACCCATAGTTTAAGAAGCTCTGGTTTAGAACAAGAATTTGAGATTTTTAAACATTTCAGATTATTTGTATTATTGAGTGCTATGTTATGTATTAGTAGATCATTTAATTTAAGAAATATACTTTCAATACTTCTTTAATAAAATAGAAACTCTACAAAATATCAATCAGAACATTTCTATTCTCTTAAATGTTTTCATTGTTATATTTTTTTATATTAATATTAATAATTAAACTAATATAATATTTATAGTTAATGCATTAAAATTTTATTGACAGTTTTAATGATTAAATATTATATAAAAGTCAGATTTTACTTACCAAATATAATGCTAATTTTACAGGCAGAACACATGAATAAGCTGTCTTGTACGTAGTTATAGCTGAATATTTGTCTTCGGTAAAAAATTCAAATTTGGATGACTGACGAGAATGTGAGCCCGCGGATTTTTACGGGGCTCTTAAAAATATCCAAATTTTATATCAAGTATAAAGATCTTTGGACAAAACCTGAAGAATTTGAACTAGATCGGAGGTCACCGATTGTAATAACAATTAGATGGGAAAGTTGACACTTAGGTGTGAAGAATGCACTGTCATCGTCAACAAAAGTCAATCACGTGTCAGTTTTTCCATGCGAATGATATAAAAGCTTGAATCCCCGAAGCTCGGTGCAATCTCTCAGAAGTTAGACTTGTAACTGTGCATTTTGTCTCCGTACGCTGGATTGACAGGATACGACAGAACTTCCATCACCATTAAGGAACATATTCATCGAACGTGTGATGGTTATATCCACATTGAGGTATTTGCATTGTTTTAGAGCTTTGAAAACTCTCTCTCTCAGACTAGCCGTTAAAGCTATTAGGGCGTCCCTTTTGGGTATAGTGAACTTATGTTATACGCAGTTACTCTTAGTTGTATCTAACCGCATTTAACCTATATATTGTTATCACCTTATGTATTCTAGCTTAGCCATTCAATAAATGTTTGTTATTTATTTGAACCTGTTTCCTGTCATTTAAGGACACCTGCCAGCTTCCTAACCTCCTCCCACTCGATTTGCCCTCCTAGCCATCCAACAGACTCCGAGATCGGGTTTTATCAACCTGTTGCAGAGTAAGTGGCCAGAAAGAGCTTAACTTCTGACCCACTGCTAATCTCACATTGGTGTCAGGAGTGGGGTAAATAGACAGGTTTGTCCGTGATAGACAAGGTTGGCTTAGACAAGTTTTGTCCGCAATAGACAGGCTTCCTTGAGAAAATTTTGTGAGGCATAGATAGCCCCAAAATTACACTAAATAGAGGATTCTAGTATATAGTAGCATAGAAATGGAAGGCGAAAATCCTTGCGCAACACTTGGAGGATTAGGTAGTTTGGTTCCTTTACTGCCTGCATTCGCAGGACAAGCAGGAGGTCCCCACATCAGTGAGTTTTTTGACTCATTGGTAGATGTAGCAAAATTGTCAGAATGGACAAAAGCACAAATGTTATCAGTAGCAAAGCTTAGACTCACAGGAATAGCCCGGGAATTCATTAGAAAAGATAGACGAATCAAAGATATAGAGGAATTCGATGAATTCAAATGCCTAATGATAGAGTACTTTGACCGCAAACCCTTTCCCTTCAGACTAAATAAGTTTTATACATGCGTTCAAAAAAAGGAGGAAAATGTGCAGGCGTATGCCGCTTGTCTTCAGTTGCTAGCAATGGAGATAGTGATCACACCGGAGCCGAGCGCAAATTCTGAGGAAACTGCTATTATTCAGAGTCCAAACAAAGGAATTAGATGAACAATTAAAGGTACAATGTTTAAATGGAATTGATATTCGTATAAGGCAACGAACTATGTCTCGAGAGCCTGCTACTTTTGACGAGGCGCTAAAAGACACTATTAGCGAAGAAATGATAGAGAACCTTACCGCACATCCTTGTGCTATTATCAGACCTACAAGGGAAGATAGTTTTAATGGTTAAATATTATATAAAAGTCAGATTTTACTTACCAAATATAATGCTAATTTTACAGGCAGAACACATGAATAAGCTGTCTTGTACATAGTTATAGCTGAATATTTGTCTTCAGTAAAAAATTCAAATTTGGATGACTGACGAGAATATTCTGACATCATATCCATGCTTTGTCCAAAAGAACTAAATCTAATTATCTGATAAAAAATATAAAAAAAGTAATGAAATTTTAAATTGATGACAAATATATTTTTCTAAAACTATTTTTCTCTATAGTCATTACTTGTAAATTTATATGAATTTTTTTAGTTACATGTATAATTATGTTATTGTTCATTCAATTAAATTTAAGCAAATTTGTCATCAAAACAAAGTTTAATGTGTTTCACTCAATTCATTATTATTAATAATTTAAAAAAAAAATTATTCAAATAGTAATTTATATTTTTATATTTTATAAAATTCAACAAATTCAATTTTTTTACTTTGATATAATTTGCATTAAATCACAAATCAATCAATACAATTTTAACACATAAAACTGACTTTTCATATTAAAATAATGAATTTTTATAAAATATTTAATGATGTTGAAACTTATGAAATTTTTTCATCTTTAAATTCAGACTGGTTTGATTTACATCAGTGATGAGAAATCTTTCCTGGATACAGGCTGCAGGTGAACTTAGTAAACTTCTGGAGCTGCAGGCTTTTGAGCCTACTTGTTATGAGATATATTGGTACCATCCAATTCACTAGGTATTAAAGTAATACATGCAGGACCATAACAGAAAACTGCAGGATTTCCCCGCAAAGTGTTTTGGAGGGCCCCCTTTTCACTTGTTGCAAATCTCAAGATGATTTTTAACATATTCAGACACATAACTGAAATAGTTTTTACTAGGGCCCATTTATAAATATACTAATAAATAAAATTTTATTTTACTTTCATTTATTTCTAACTAGTTGAAGTATCTAACCATGTTTATAATTTTTATTATTTCTATCCACAAAAAGTCAATAGAACTCACTTAGTTGGGAGAATAACAGAGCCATTTTCTTGTTCTTTCTCTGTTAAACACATTATTAATTTAAAACAAAAACAGAACAAGAAAGAAAATTTGGTATCACAATTTATAGGAAAAAGGCATTTTGGTCTGCATGATTCTAGATTTCAAATTTGTTTGTGTATATTTTCATCAGTAATGTCAACTGGATACAATGCATGATTGAAAGATAATATAAATGCATAAAAAAGCCACAAAAACCAAATAACCAACAGAACAAGAGATATGTAGCTAATGTTTTTGCCCATGTTGAACAGGCATCATCAGGTTATATGACCTTGCAGTTGTTGAAACAATGGGTGATTGCTGTACATGTGTGAAGAGGGGAGGTGACATAAGGAAGAGAGAGGGAGGGGGGTTTGTAGAATGACTTCCACACCAGGAGGAAGGAATCTACATTGCAGAAGTTAATGGTGGTATTTTTGAGGGTGGACTTATAAATTTCAACTTGCTCTAAATGTCTAAAATGTTATTTCCAGGTGGAGTGATGTATGAGGTGTGCATGGTTGAAATGCACATATATGTTGGGATTGGAGGCAAAGATAGCTAATGCAGTGTTGGCCAATCCTTTCAGAATGAAATTCTGATGCTCTTTGAGGCAAGTGTTTAAAGGGTGCATTGTATCACACATATTCAAAGTTGCATCTTTACCAACTTTTCAAGGACTACCCCAACGACTGGAAGGCTCTACTACAACATGGCTCACATCATGTGGAAAGAAATATTGCCCAAGGCTGCCCTCAGGGGTCGGTCTGTGGACCATTCCTATGGAATCTTGCCTTCAACTCTTTTCTTCAAGAAGATTTTGGACATGATGGCATCATAGCATATGCGGACGATGTCTTGATACTGATTGGCGGTAATTCCCGTGCTACACTTGAGAGCAGAGGCAATGATACGCTTAGTTGTGTTCATCACTGAAGCATCAGGCACAAACTCAATTTTAACCCTGGCAAAACTACCTGCATTGTTTTTAATAGACCCAGGCAACCAAATCTGTACCGTCACACACCGACAATTCACATGGATAATCACTCCATCAAAGTTGAAAGGGCAATCAAATACCTTGGCGTCTGGTTGGACCACCACCTTAGTTGGGACAATCCTATAAAATATATTACCAATAGAACCAACCTCATCTTTCAGCTTTCTCCCAGGTTGCCCACAAGAAGTGGGGTCTTCCGAGGCAGTTGGTATCATTTATGACCACACCAATCATCACGTATGGTTGCGGCAATTGGAATTGGGCTGCCAAGAAGGTTCACCCCTCCAGGAAACTAATTTCATCCCAGTGCAAGGCCTTAATCGGGGCCTACAGAACAACCCTGAACAGTAGTCTTCATACCATAACCCACAAGCCACCCATCACCGACGTTATTCATGCCAGGTACGAGCTTTGGAAGCTAAAGACTGGCCAAGACATCTGTACAGTCATCTGCAACATTCCCGCTGCCAACTTTGAGCAAATGAATCCCGTCACCGACTTCACTCCTCCTTACCTCAACAACCATATTAATTAACACCAGTTCGCCCAATTTCTCCGACGTGGAAATCTATATGGATGGCTCTGGCCTGGATGGAAACATCAGGTGCACATTCATTGTTATGCAAAATAACCATAAGATCCATCAGCAGGGTTACAGACTAAGCAAATTATGCAGTGTTTTTCAGGCTGAGCTTGTGGCCATTAGCATCAATGTTGGCTGGTCTGAACAGCATTTAACACATAAGCAGATTGCAATCTTCACAGACTGCCATCAACCTTATCAATAGCAAACAGCTCCACTCCATCTCAACTGCAATCAAAAAACTTACTCTCAACTCCTCCAATAGCTACAGCATTACCTGGGTCTGCGGTCATCATGGTACCACTGGTAACCAGAGAGCTGACCAGCTGGCAAAGACAGCTGCCAACAATGACATGCTAGACTCCATCTATAATAAAAATCAGCCTGAATAAAGTTAAAAGACTTCTATACAACGACACACTCCACCACTGGCAGGACTCTTGGTATGAAAATCACAGCAGTCATACCTACAACTATATCCCCAACATCCACGAGTACCAGAACTACACCTGGATTTTTAACAACTCTCTTCTCACGCAATTCATCACCGGCCATGGGAAATTCTCCAGTTATCTACATAGGTTCACAGGGAAGCGGTCCCCCCCCCTCTATGCCATCTGCAAGACAGTGGACATCCCAGACCACTACCTCTACAATTGCATCTGTCTAACTAAGGAAAGACTTGCTATCCAACTTATGGCACAGAGCCTCGATATCTCCTGGCCATGTCAACAGTCAGAACTCTTCAAGCACAAGGAACTGTATGCAGCCTTCCTCAACCTCATGCAAACCTATGAGCTCGTAGCTCCCACCACCAACCACCACCACCAGTGAGTAGTTCCTAAGCGGCTCCCTCCTATTCCAGCACCTCTGCCTCGGTCTTATTGTATATATTGTACATATGTCAGCATAATAGTACTTGTAATGTTTTGTCTTGTTCTACTCTTGTAACATTTTATACCCTGTTTTCCACCTGTATGTTATGCTGTATGTTACATGTCAACCATTTTGTTATTGCAACTTTTGTTCTATATTGTACACAATTACTTGCATGTAACCTATTCCATGATTATTAACATTCATTAACATTATTTTATTACTTTGTGTACTTGGTACACCTTGCAACAATGCTCATGCAATTAATTGTATTAATTATATTAACTATTGTACGTCATCTCAATCCTAATTATATGTATGCATAATTGTAATCATCCCAATGTAACTTATGTTATGTTTCATATCCATAGACTTAGTGTAGTCATTCTATGATATTATCCTGTACTTTTAATTAATTAACTGTAACCATGTTTTGTTTTTTATTTTTTCTTTATCACTCGCAATCTTAGCGCATCTCTTTCCATTTGTAATATGAATTGAATTGTTTCATTGTGCATGTTGTATTTCAATCATACTCAATCTTACATTACTCTATATTTACTAAAAAAAAAAAAAAAAACATACTGTCATTTTATCATCCAACTTCATATATTTTATTCCCGGTAGTGCCATGAGGAACCAGATATGTACAAATTTGATACGTAATAAAGATATTGAATGAATGGTTCTTGTGATCAGTAACAGGGATAGTGTAGATGTCTAATTGGAAGTGCATGTCAAGACAATCTTTAGCATTGCAGAGGAGGCTGAAAACTGAGTGGCTTCTTCAAAAATCTAAACAAAAAATACTGTTCCTGGATGCAGGAACAGTAATTATTGCCCTCCAGCATTGCATATCATTAGCATATATTCATGACTAACAATCACTCCAGCATATCCTGCAAACTAATAATATATACTTTATTCTCATCTTTTCACTGATAGTTTAGCTTGAATGTTCTTCATCACAAATATCACTTTAATTAGGGTTGCACGATGGCACAAAGCAGAAGACAGGAAAATAAAATATATTGACAAAACCCCAGTGGCCACAAATTACTATCTCGGATTGCTCATGACTGACTTAAACATATGTAAAACTATCTAATGAAAAACATTTGCTTTAAGAAACAGTTTTAGGAATTAGCCAATTTTTGTCATTTATAAAAGTGAATACATATTCATCACTCAAATATAAACTTATGTAGATTTATTATTATTAATAATTGAAATGAGAAAATTATGAAAGATATATATTAGTGTTGCAACAAATAGTATATTCAGCCAGGAGCGTGGCTGAATAGCCGAATATTCGGCCAAACTATTCAGCTTGATTAACGCATGTACAAAAATTGGCGTGCAAACAGCATTATGGCAAGGACCCTGCTCTCTAATTGCCCACTGTCACTACACTTCGCCAATCACATTAATTCTTGACAGTTGTAGCGGACAAACGAGCGTCATTGCATGTGATAAGTGATGATATCAGATGTGGATAACAATAAAATTACCTACATGTGTAAATAACGGAAAAAGAACAGAAAAGGACTGCAAAGTGAAAATATGAAAATAAATATGAAATTGAGTTGATAACATAATCGAACAAGCAGAGGCAGCTTATTGGCACAAAATTTGTGGCCATCAATGCTAAACAATTGTTGTCATAGACTTCGGAAAGCTATATGCTTGTAATGAAAGTCACTTAGCATACACAGACGAAAGCCTGGGGCCATTCAGGCTACCAAGCTATCTCAAATCTGTGAAATCATAACTGGGACTTATACCGATGTCCTATCTGTCTCTTTTCTCTGTTATCACTAGGCTATGAATCACATAATTGTAAAAAGGGGAAATCTACGAGAGAAAAGTGACAAATCGAATGTATTGTGAGCGCGTATTATGATGTATGCGTAGGCATACATGGACTAGAGCGATAGAGGAAAGGGAAAAGCAAAGATGAGCACTTAAAAAGAAGGATAGGCAGGGTCAGACCCTCAGATGTGCAATGTACACACATACACAATACAACACATACCTATTTGTTGGAGAATAGGTGTGTACGTGTGCTGATCTTTTTAATTATAAATTGTGAATACATGTGACTAATATTATTTTTTTTTTTATTTTGTGCATGTTATAAGTTATAAATAAATATAAACAAACAACACTAACCCAATTAAATCTAAATACCAAAATGATTAATTTAATGTTATGTGTTTTGTTATTTCTTACTCCTGTTTTTAGGTATTCGGCCGAATAGTGATTAAATATTTGGTATTCGGCCGAATAGTAACCGAATATTTGTTACATCACTAATATATATATAACAGAGCCAGGATGTAATAGTAATAACAGAGGTAGAGGTAAAGTACGGTGATTGAAACATTGAGAAATTCAAAATAATTGGGGTTTATTTTTTCTGTGTGTGTGGGGGCCATGATCTTTGAAGTTTAATAATTCATGTGCCTTTTTGTCAAAAATTTGAAATTTTGGAAGAAGATTTATGTATCGGGAATTGATGCTATTAAATTCTGGTGGTTAAAAGTTGACAAAATGGGGAGATAAAAAGGGGATTGTGTCTCTTATCTCAAGTAGAATCAAACTTAATGACAATTTTATTCATTATTAGCAATTACAATTTTTTATAAAACCCGCCGCTATCCTCAGAATTAAGCTTTTTACCCTTTTATAATAATTAAAAATATAAAAAGTTTTTTAAATGAGATATCATAACAGATAGCACCACCAAAATTTTAAATTCTGCTAGGAAAATTAAGCAACTCGTTGCTGGATTTTTTCCTTGTCTTCAGTTGTCTCATTATTACTGATTTTAATGGGAGGGAAAAAAGAGACATCTTTTTCCCTATTTAAATGTAAAGTAGTTAAAACTTTTAGTTAAATTATATAAAATAATTACTTAAAATACTTAAATGTTTATATTCTGTTATAAGAATATAAATATAAAATTAAAGTCAAATATTTCAAAGTCAAAAATATGTAAGAAAAACTTTTTACTAACCCAATGAAATGCTTCTACAACATTTACATAACAAGGAAGGTTTTTTAAATGTTTTTTTAACAGATAAAAAATTCCACTTTCAATCATTATAGCATCATTTATAGCGATTAGTCCAATGTTTTCCTAATTAAAAAAATAAATTATATAGGATGTAATTTACTTGTTATGCTGAATGAAAGTTATTTCCAAATAGTTTTAAACAAAAATTTCAAGTGAAACTAATTATAATTTTTAAAGTTTTAAAAATATGACTATATTTTTACTATCATGAATAACAACATATTTCATATTATTAATTAATAATAATAATAATTATACAAAATTATATAAAAATCACAGGGAAAAAATAAACTTCAAAATAACATAATTCACAAGATAAAGAACTACACTTAGAGCAGGGCCCACCAGTGGCCAAGTGATTGCATTCCCCGAACACCGGGAGTTCAGTCGTGGGTTTGCATCTCGCCAGGATAGGTTGTCCACGTAGAGTTTTCCAGGTTTTGTCCACATCTGTAACACTTGAATAGAGAGACCAGTTACCCTTAAAAAAAATATCCCTCTGGAAGGCATCCCCTAGGCATATCACCTAAGTGTTGTATTGCTGTAAATTAATTAACAAACAAACACTTTGACTTTTAATCCCTTTGGGGACACCTGCTCTAATTTTTTAGATAGAGTTGGATAACCTAATAAATACTCTATCTAATTTATAGTTGTGAGCTAAAAGCATTGTTTATTATTATTAGTCAAACTTTTTTTAATTGTGTTGTGAATGTGTCTCTTTAATCCGATCAATTCAGTTCAGTAGACTATCAATACAGCTTTCAGGTTACATACTTCTTTTATTGTTTTGACATATGCATTTCGGACTTATATGTATTTTAAGTCCCTCTTCAATTCAAAACTACAAATTATTTAAAAAAAAAAAATTCTTGAAAATGTGTTAATATTAATATACTACGTATGATTAATCTATAAAAAGATCATAATTGCTGTGACATTATATTGTAGAACATACACATTCTTTAAGAGTTGTAATTATACAAGATTTTATGAACACATGTTAAAAGTGAGTATCATGTTATATTGTTTCTGTTAAAATATATGATGTTATAAAATAAAAAACATTCTTTTTTTAATTGTTAATCCCTTTGTGGTTATCTGTAACTTATGTTTGTATTTTTCTTGAAATTTTTAATCCCTCCTCTCCCTGTTTGTCCAAGTTTCTGTAACCCTTTCCCCTCTTTGGACATCCAACAAAACTCAACTCCTCTTAAAACCTATATTACTTTATGCATGATAGATACCATAAGCAGAAATGAAACATACGTGATTTTTTGAGATAAGTAATAAATTAAATATATTAAAATGCATAAACTGTATAAAATTTAATGAAATAAACAGATGTCCACTGAAGCTCAACCCTTTCTCTCCCTCTTTTCTGACTTTGTCCAAGTTGTGGTAACCCCTCACTCCCTTCCAGTATGGATGTCATTTATAGACAGCCTCTTTAGGATTCTGCAACATCTTATCAATCCCATCTTTTTTTGCTAATACAGTTAATAATAAATAAATACATCTAATGAGCCAGTATTAATCTATACTCTGTTTTCATAGAAAAGATGCAGGGGAGGCATCTTAAAGGTTGCAAAATTTGCATCTTAAAGGTGCAAATTTACAACATCCTAAACTGTCATCTCTACTCATGACAATATACAAGAATGATTTAAACAACCCGGATAAAATACTTTTGTTTTTAAACACCAGAAGTTGGGAATCCAGTAAAAAATGCAAATACACAGTTTACAAAAATTATTGCAAAAACAAAAAGAATCCTTCACTCGTGCATATAGGATGAGCTAGGTTTTTGAAGCAGTGAAATAAGATGCAGGGGAGTCTCCTTAGCCTCTTGCCAATATTGTGAGGAGACAAGTTTCAGTCAGCAAAAGTGTTTACAAAAGTCAAAATATTCTTGTCAAAAGACAGAAAATATTAAGTTTGTCCAGAGAGCAGGCTAGATAAAAACATCTTAGTCTACTTTAAAACAGGAGTTAATCCATTGCTTAGAATGATTGACTGTAGTTCAATCATTCTAAGCAATGGAGGTTTAACTGCTCTAAGGAAAGTGTTAAAAAAATACCAAGAATTGGTTTGGGCCCTACAAAAGGATATGAACATTCTGTTTGACCAGTAAATCAGCACTTACATTGCCAGCAAATTTTATAAATGTTAGATTTGGTTCTATAATTAACATAATATATACTTTAATAAAATTTATATAATCAAAAATTCTCATATAAATACTTCTGAGCTAGCGCCCATCTTCAGATTATATACAAAAATATAATTTAAAAGCTAAATACTGTTACTACAGTCACCATTAATTGATTCAAAAAACAAAGCCAAAAAAGAAAAACACAAGTTTCATTGTATAATTTCTAAATAACAACACTTCAAACTATAAGACAAGAGAATACAAAAATAAAATCAAAAGTGTACTTTTGATTTTATTTTTGTATTCTCTTGTGTTAGATATAGTTTGAAGTTTTATTATTTACTATAGACAGATATAGAAAAAAGCATTGCTTAATAAATATTTCATGATGAAATAATTTTATATAAATATTTTATTGCAAGATTTTAACAAACTAAAAAATCAAAAGATAAAACTTACTTAAGTAAAAAACAACTTTCTTACATGTATACAGTACTGGAATGTGCCCTAACAAAAAGGGCTTTCACACACAACACCAGATCTAAAGACACTGAGGCAGAGTTGAAATGCATTCAGGACATAGCTGTACAGCATGGATATAGTACAAACATGATATACAACCTTTCTTGTACTTACTCCACACAAATAGCCGCACCTGACACTTCTCGAACACACTTAAAGACACACAGAACACACAACCGCACACGTAGATAAATAGCACACATTTGCGTGCTGTGGTTGAGTACAACCACCACCTCAACTCCATTTACAGAGAGATTGCCTCCCATACAAACACTAAGATTGCATACAAGAGGCCCAGCACTATATATGGGCTACTCCACAGCGGCAAGGATAAGATCAATAAAAAGCTAGTACCGAGTGTATACATGGTTCCTCTCTGGGACAACAGGTTTCAAAGGGAGTTAGTTTATATAGGGTCCACAAAATGCTCTCTGAATAAAAGATTGCAGGAACACAAATACGATATTGATGATAGGGTGGTGGTGTGCCTATTATTAACATATGCCACTGACCCCGGCATAAGAGCGGACCTACAAGGGACCAAACTAATCAGGATGTCTCACCGTGTTGAGCACCTTTGAAATATGGAGGCACTTGAAATTTACAAAGTTGAGTTACATGCCAATTGCATTAACTCTAATCAATGTGTCGCACACATGGAAGTACAGCTATGAAGGAACGGGCAACGCCCACACCAGCAGTTAAAAACCAAGCCCCCACCCTCAATCGGTTTAATTCATATGTATTTATATCATTCCAGCGCCATGGTAATGCACATGCATATATTTGTATACATACACATAGAGTGTTCCATTGGTTTTAATTCTATTTGTGCTGTTCCATTTTTTGAAAATAATTTTGTAATTATGTTCTATGCATTCATGTGTTCAAATCCCACTGGTTTCTTAAACTTGAAGAAGACCGAAAGTACAGTTGAAAGCATTTGTTTTCTATTAAATATCTACTATGGACTTTTAAGGTTTATGAGTGTTAATTGATAAAACTTACATTTCTAAACCAGCATGGTCTTCCTCGTCTAGTAAAAGCCTGATCCGTAATATCATCTAATATTAAGAAATATGCATGAATCTGAAAAGATTTGATTATTATTTTTTTGTTATAGAAATATTAAAACTAAAAATTTATTTGGTAGAAGCAAAAAATCAATTTTATCACACACATAAAATATCGATAAATTTCAAAATAACAAGAAGCAATAAGAGAAAATATCAAGATATGAGCAAAAATAAGCTTTTTTAATAAATTAACAACACTAATTACACTTAAAAATTTCAAAAAAACATTTTTGAAATATTTTCTATCCTAACACAAATTACTAGAAATCACTGCACACCTGACTAGAAAAAAATAAAAATGGATTAAGTCTGAAAATAATTTTTTTTTTAACTTTCATAAATTTAAATTTTAATAAACTCTCTCAAATTAACTTTTTTTGCATTTGTTTTGAACTGAAATATTACTCTCTCTCAATAACTCAAAATGGAAGGGACAGAGAAAAATTTTTGAGGTACAAAAACTATAATTATTTTGATAAAACTATAAATATCACAATACATACAACTAAGTTAGATTTACATTAGATCATCATATTATACATTTTTTAATTTTTTAGCATGTTCTTTTATTGTTGATGTTAATAAAGCCATAAAATTTCCACTATTTACAGTGTTATTTACTTATCTTCTTTAATATGATCAGGAAATGGTAGACCTAAAATTATTACAATAAGCAAACTCTACTGTCAGGGTTTGGATAAAATGAAGGGTAATGTCGAATTTAACACAAAGAAAATGGAGAGAACTAGAAAGCGATGTCTGTTAGACCACAGCACACATTCCAAAACTAAAACTAACCTGGACCAGAGTACAACTCCCTTGATGAACATAACTCAACAGACCCCACACATAGCAGAGGGAAGGGCGCGACGATCACAAAGACAAAGGTCACATACACAACTTTCTAACATCTACTATATTAATATTCAATTAGAAATATTTCTAATTATTATATTTATCGCTGTTATTCACATAATCATATTCTTAGAATGTTTCATTACAATAAAAATTCACTGAATATAATTAAATTATTTAATTCTGGGTCAGTCGCCAAAAGTGTAATGTCTGGAACACAAAGTTAATAAATGGTGGTTCCTATTTTGTGGAAAGGACTTTGTCTTCAAAAGAATTAATTATTTAATTCTGTTCAAAAACTTTGAAAAAGTAATTGTAATTTCTCAAATTCTTTAATATAAAAAATATGCAAAATGAATAATAAATATCTTAACTATTATAATACATTAATGTGAAAAACATCTTATTCAAAATTGTATTTACTTATTTATACATATATTAATTTACCATTTCCACACACCATCCTAAAATATATGCAAGCTTTATATTCTCTTCAATTAAATCTTTGGACTTTACTAAAAATTTGTATGTAGAAACCAAAGCCAATGCATGCTTCTTTTTCCCGTGGGGTATATTATATTCCAAAATCTAAAAAAATTTGAGAAACATCTTTGAATACATTTAAATTTAAAATATATTAAACAGAAAAAAATGTAATAAAGTAATTGGTATTTAAAAAATTACAGCATGTAATTCTCTTTTAAACAGCTTTTCAATGATAGCTGAATGGCCAAGTGGTTAAAAGAAATGTGGTAACAAAGTTAGAAGCATTTTTAAAATAGGAATATTCAAGACTCAAAGTAGGTTAAAATTTTAGAATGCTTCACTTTTATGTAAATAAATAATCACTTCCCCAATTTAACTATTTTGTTACTTTAACTATATTACCTGTTATACAGTGTATTAACTACAGGACTGACAAAACTTTGGTAAATGATAGCACATCAAAAAAAAGTATAGTTAAGAAAAAAAGCTAATATCAGAAAATGCTTAATTTTTGAGATAAAGGGAAGTTGCAGTGCTGCAAAAGTGTTCTGTTTTTAATATATCAGAAACAATATGAAATATTTACTTGAAATTTTTTGTATAGTTTTTGCTACAGGAATCTATCTACATTTGTAAAGGTTTTGTGTGTGATTTTTTTCAACATGAGCAGAGATGTGGGGTTAGCACATTTCTTTACAAAACATACATAACACCACTGAAAAACTAATTGATTTTGATGTGTTTTTAATCTACATAAACTTTCAATTAAAACATCAGGCTAAGAAAAACAATATCTGACAGTCATTCTGGCAATCACAGTGGTCAGAATGGTCATGACAACTAACAGAGGTTACCCATTGGAACCCCTCTTTTTTGAAAAGGAATTCCAACCAGGGTTTTGAAGAGGTTCTAACTGGTTGCAAAATGTTTAGAAGTGCACCAGGGGGATATCAACAAGCACATTGTGGCTGTTTACCATGTTTAGCTTATGTATTGTTAGTTTGAAAGGTTCCTTTTTTTTTTTTTTTTTTCATATTTTGCTATCCTTTCCTTTCTATTATACCAAAATGGCTTGTTCTCTACTAAGTGCTTCTTCTCTCTTACCATTCCCTTTCTTTGATTGGACTCTCACTTCCATGGAGAATTAGTTAGACAGGCTGTAGAGGCAGTTGAGGAATGTGGAAAAATTTGAAAAATGTGTTATTAAATTGGGGAAAAGGAAGAGTGATGACATGAGAACAAAAGAGACGGTATTGGGAAAAAAGAGAGAAAACTGTCATACGTTCTCAGATCTGAGTTTATCTGTGACAAGTAAAGCAGATATTTGCAAATTCTGGAGCTGTTTTGGATGAAAAGACAGAAGATTAAAGTTTACAAGCAATGGATCCAAGTGTTTTTCTCACAATTGTCCAACAAGGATTGCCCAATTGAGGACTAATAATTTCTTAGCATACATAAGGACATTTTTCTCTAATGGTGAAAAGTAAAGCAGATTTTTGGTAAAACCAGAATTGACTGCAAGAATTATTTTGTTTTCACTTATTCACAAGTTTTTACTTGTTTAAAATTAGTTTTGACTGGTATGGATCAGTTAAAAGTGTTTTGCATCCCATGCCTGAACATATTTCACAGGGTTTGTTTTTCCCTCAAGGACCAATAGATCCCAACAAAAGTATCCAACAACTGATAATAGAAGTGTCCAGCAATCAAGACATTTGTATTATTCAATTTCTTCTTCATATATATAACGATTATTTCACCTTCATAATTTTCACCAGTAAAAATTTGTTGATTAAATTTAATAATAAATTAAACATATTTCACAATATAATAATTAAAATTTAATATATAAAATATACTATTTATTGAAATATATATGAATTTAAATTAACCAAATCTTTTGAAATCACTTTCTTGAAGAGTCAATATAAAATAAATGAACACAAATAAAACTTAAGAACTCCTGAGTACTTTTCATGACTCATCATCAGACGCATCTACTCATCAGAAAATATACAAACATAAAACTCAGAATACTAAATTTTTAAGTTTAAATTTATTTTAATTTTCAAGGCTTGTTAGGTTTTAACTGTATTCATTTATTTTATTTTTGGCTCTCTAATAAAGCAAGATTTGACTATTTATAAAATTTGGAGATGGATCTTAGTTCTAAACTTAAAAAGTTTCTCAACATCTTATATAAACAAAAAAGAGAAAAATAAAATTATAAAATTTAAAAATAGAATAAATAAGGCTAAAGAATTTTTAGAAAATAATAATCTAATTCTAACAAAGGCCGATAAAGCAAAACAAACTATTGTATTAACCAAACATAATTATAATAATATAATATTAGATATCTTACAGGATGGAAATTATACATTACTTGCTGATAACCCGGTGAATAGTCTAAAAAAACAAGTCATAAAGCTTATAAACAATTTTTCAAAACTTAATTACATAGATAATAACACTACTAAATATATTAAATGTTTTGGCAATAGAATCCCGAAAATAAGCTTTAGAGTAAAAACACACAAAAATCCTATTACTTATCGTCCCTTAATAGATATTCGAAAATATTTACTATACAACCTTGAAATAGCGATAAAAAAAGAGTTAAATAAATTACCCGTCTCTGAGTATAGCATCACAAACACTGACCAATTCTTACACAACTTGAAAGCTATTGTTATGAAAGAAAACTACAGAATGGCATCACTAGATGTTAACAATATGTATCCCTCAATAAACTTAGAATTAATTTTAACTTCACTGTCCTATGTGAAGAGCCCAGATTGGATTAACCAATTAGTTAAATTAGTATTAAATAATAACTTTTTTGAATTTCAAGGTAAATATTACCGCCAATCGGAAGGTATTCCAATGGGATCCTGCATAGGACCTAGATTGGCTGAGTTGTGTATGATCACAATCGATAAAGAAATCAACAAAACCCAGGGCATAATAAGTTACCAAAGATATGTAGATGACTGTTTCATCATCTATGATAAAAGCATACTAGATATTGACTCTTTTGTTTGTGGGATTAATTTAATAAATAAAAATGTCCAATTTCAATGTGAAAAAGAAGTAGATAATAGACTGAATTACTTAGATCTTACTGTTGTTAGATTAAATGGCAAATTATTATTTAAAAAATATGTTAAAGACTGTGCTACCGATAAAGTTATTGACTTCAAATCTAATATACCTTTATATATAAAAAAGAACACTTTTCAAATGTATATCAACAAAATTAAAGAAAGAACGACCTTGCACACTGATCAAGAAATGGAAATACAAAATATAATAAGAATGTTTAATCTAAATAATTACCCTAGAACATTATTGATTAAGTGGTTGGAAGCAAGTAAAGGCAAAAGGAAAAATATATCGTTAAATAGACAACCAATAGATGTTAAGACTGTGTACCTAAAAATAGAATATGTTTTTGGTGTTTTTGAAAAATTAAAAAATGAATTAAAAAGATTAGATATTATTTTAGTACCAAACCACAAAAGCACCATAGCAAATTTGCTAAACAGTAAACATGGTAACATTGAACATAATGTTTTAGAAAAAGATAATGTAGTTTACTCATTAGATTGCAGTTGTTCACATAAAAAAAGATATGTAGGGGAAACTGGTAGAAAATTAAAGACAAGAATTAAAGAACATATATATGCCATCAAAAATAATTTAATATCATCATCAGTGGCACAACATTGCAACACTGAAGGTTGTGAAATTTTAAAAGATAGCATCAAGTGTATTATGACAGAAAACAATCAACTTAAAAGAAGACTACAGGAACACCTAGAAATTCTGAAGATACAGGAAGACATCAGAATTAATAACAACATGGGACTGAAGCTACATGAGGGGTGGATTGACATTGTTTTCACTTAACCTTGAAACAGATGCTGAACAGATGTGGGGAGTTTAGGCACATCACCTTGTAAAATGCAGATGGACAGTGCAGTTGACTTCACAAAGGCTTATAGATTAGTTGTATTTTGTTTTGTGTTAAAATTTGGAGACCAATTGGTTTAATAAGAGTAAGTTCATTGTTGGATTCCTCTCCCCTCCTTTTGTTGAGGTTTTAATATACTTAACAATATTTATTATTAATAGTGTAACCGTCTACCAGAATTTGGAAAATGTAGGAGAAACTAAGACATTTACGGGTGGAGATAATATGTGATACCACATTGTCATTGGATGCTGATTTATACTTGATAATTTAGTTTTAGTGTATAAGTTACTTTGATAATTTGTAAATGCAGTGCACTGCATATGTTGATTACCCCGTTGTACCGACAGGTTATTGGTATTGTATTTGTTACGTTGTTGCCATGTGTTTGTAAGCTGATGAGGGGTCCTTGTACCCGAAATGCATACTTACCTAAATTTGATATGTGATTATTAAAGACCAAACCTTTTTTATAAAGTTCTGGTCCTTCTTCCAGTCGGCCTTGGTGTGATAAGCCCTGCAAAACGTTATACTCTAATTGTTGGGTTATCTAATTCTGTCTAATTTACAGTCGCGGGCAAAAAAGCGTTGTTTATTATTATCTTATATTTTATTCAAACAGACAATATTAATAATAAACTCTACAATAAATATTGTAATATAATAATAAATAAAGTAAATACACTGGCAGATGGAATTAAACTCTTTTTTTATAACAAGTACTTTCAATGATACAAAATCATTGTTATCAGGCTAATAAATATCTCAAATTTGGAACAGAATGTCATATACTGTACATAGTGACATTCTGTTCCAATACTGTGATAATATTTAGGAAGTCTAGCTATTACTCTTAAGTTTAAGCCCCTGTTATCTCAAAAACTAAATATTTCAGGATATTAAGCTTATTATTCCTAATTATACTTATTTTTTGATGTCCTTTCACATCCTGCAGTTTGGCCAATCTTATTGTTAACAACTTATCAACTTTACTTCTTTGAATCTAATAAAAACATCTTTTATTCTTTCATCTTGGATGTCCTCTTCATTAATAAGATCTTCTACAATAAAGGTAAATGCTGCATCAAATTCTTCCACTTCTCTTTGATCTAATAAGTTTAAGTCTTTTTCTTTAAAATATCCTTCTCTATATAAGAAAATATAACATTAATAAAATGTTAATGGATTACTGATAAAACATATATGACTGATAAGACAAATAGAAATATATAATTTCTATTTGTCTTATGACAATAGAATTATATTCTACTCTTATAATAATAAAGATTTCCATACATAAATTATCATATAAATTAGTTTGAATGTGATATATTTATTACTGTTCTATTGATATATTCAGTGCAATCTTTTAATTGACTTGTTTAAAAATACTACATTGTATATGCAAAACAAATATTTTGGATATTTGTTTTTAAATATTAGTACAAAATAGGATACTGAAATAAAATTTTTAATATCTGATGTATAATTAATGATATAATTATTACTTATTTATATTAGATCTCTTTTGATTATCTTGCATAACACCTTTCATGCTTTTAATATATTTTAATATTTGACCATTCATATTTCCAAAACTAAAAGAAATCTATGTCCATAAATGATCCCATAATTATTTTAGCCCTATGCCTATTTATTAAATAATGTTGCACTATATGTTATATATTATGTGTAATATTGTATATTGAAGATTCATACACTAATGCACCCCTCAAATGTGAAATAGTGACACCACAAAGGAAAGCATTTAGCCATATGCACATGCCAGAGATATGTAAATGATTAAAAGAACAGAGATATGTAATGTGTTTTCTCAGTAATGAGTATGTCCCCATGGTCAGCTATATGGTGAGGCATATATCAATGTGGCAATTAATAGTTTCCTCACATAACCCTTGCCAAGTTGCATTTACTGCAGTGCATGCGTTGTCTAAGGTATGTGATGGTGAGCCCCACGTGCACCTCACATCGGACGAGATCCCATAGGTGTTCAATGGAAGAGAGATCTAGCAAGGCTGCCCACAGGGAAGAATAGGAATTCCATTCAGGCTTTGGCATGAGATGTGCAATTTGGCATTTTTTTGCTGGAACACCATATTGGGTGTGGTCTGCATCAGCGGCCAAACCACTGACAGCAGACCAGTATGTCACATGGCCCAAGTACTGGAAATGTGCACCAGGGCTGTCTGCTGATCAAACATGATGCCTCACCAAATTGTAATGTCCAGTGTATAGTAGAAGAAGTAAACATGTCCAATCCTTCCTGCAGTAACACATGAAGCTAGAAAGGTGGTGGGCAGAGTCTGGAAAACCCCCATCCTATCATCCTTTTCAACAATAATGCAATGCAGAGAGATGAAGCAAAAGTTAAAGAAATAATACATGTAAACAGTTTTATTATTCCATTATTTTTCACGAAATGCATAGAAAATATCTAGCAACGAGTTTTGTAACTTTCCTGGCTGTTATGAGATTTTGTTTTAAAAAAAACTTTATATTATTGTAAAATAGCAAAAAAAGTTTAATTTTGACGATAGTGGTGAGTTTTATTAAAAAAAAAAAAAAAACTGTAAATGCTAACAACGAAAAATCTGCATTAGGTCCCACCGCTTACGAGATTTGACACATGATAACATCTATCTTTCTACTCCCTCGACCTTTAACCGGCAAAATTTAACAGCATCAATGCCCCTTACACACACACAAAGCAATAGTGCCAAATTCGTTTCTTAATCTTAACCCGATCTCGAGATATTAAACGAAATAGACCAACACATGCACGGAATTTTTCCCGGGTTTTTTTTTTCTTTTAGGAGTCACAAAATGTGGAAATTTGCAAAAAAAGTCGCAGTGTGAAATTTGACACGATTCCAATACTTTCCCTCGTTATGTACACACAACATCCGGGAAAATAAAACTTGCCAATTAAATATTCTATCTTTTTTCAGCTTATTACTGCACTTCCAAAAGCAGCAGATGACAGTTTTTAGTCGTCATATTAATAATATGTAAAGCTAAATCGAAAACTCGCGTACGTCTTCCGAAGTGAATTCGAAAAGGGTATCACCACAAAATGTCTCCCTCTTTCCTGCTTAAGTCTTGTGACGTCATGTCCATTCATTTAAAGTATAACCTCCTAGATACGGTCTCGTTCCCCAGTCATTAACTGCTGGTATTCAGCTCGCTGTCGTCTCCGAAGCATTTTCTACGCTTCTTCGAAAATTCGGTTGCCACGAACTGTCGCTGATAGCATTTACGTCCCGAGCCGGCTGCTGATCTTTATAGCCCGAAACTGGGTACCACATGACCTGATGCGTAGGCAAACTTAATCATTTTCATATCTCGGTACCCATATCTCTGTCACCTCTACCTGTCCTCCAATTTCATATGGCTACCGCATTCCTTCGTGGTGTTGTGATTTCACTTTTCAGGAATGTAGACAAAAATTATTGCGATAAACCGAAAATAAAGAGTTAGCCACATTAAAATTACTGTTAATTGCAGATACGTTTTAAGAAAAATGACATTTTCAAGTTTATTTAACAGGGCTGTGGAGTCGCAGTCATGAAAAATCCCCCCCCTCGACTTCGACTCCTTTTTACTTTCCCAACTTGTTATATATATAAAAAAAAAATGAAAAAGTATTTGAATCGTGTGACCTTTGACCCTACAAGTGTTTTGCAAATCTATACCTTTGGAGATCTCGCGAACCCAAAAAAAAAAAAAAAGTGAAATAAAGGGAAAAATTCGCGCTCCCACGCTCGTATGTTGGCATCTAATTTGTTGAATTTCTTTACTCATTATGAGATTGTGTTTAATATTATAGAACAGAATAAAGTTTAAGAAACACAATTTGGCTGTAGCATGCGTATAAAGGGTATTAATGCTATTAAATTTTGGTTCTTAAAAGTCGACACAGTGGCGTAGCGTAGCGGGGGCGGCACTTTTCAGGGCGCGGCAAAATTACATTTTAGGGGGCGGCAAAATTTCACAATAAATAATAATAATATTTTGTAAAAACTGGGACCATTTCATCACATATTTTCGTCGCACCTACGATTCGGACCGACTGAAATGAGCACGAAAAGTGTCATCATCCGGACAGTCCGGGATTTCGTGCACAACCTGTTGACCTTTTTTTTTCTTGTACAAATCACTCGTATTCATATACACCTCCAATGTCCAATACAGCTAAGTCATCTAGATTACTTACGTTACTCCTACCCAATTCTCCGTAATCGCTAACTGAACCGGCATGCACTGCACATTATTCTTCGCATTGCAAAATAATATACGCATGCGTCAGGAACTTCTGTTCGAACAAACCTCACCTGCCGTCCGGGTCAGCGATTTTAAAAAGGTGGCAACACTAGCACGAAATTTTTCATTACTTATTCTGTGACGAAACTGAATTTTAGTTTTTTAAATTGAGATACCTAAATAAGGAGGCGGAGAAATTTTCCTTTGTCCCGGGAGGCTGACACTCACGCTACGCCACTGGGTCGACAGAGTAGAGATATAAAAGGGATCATATGTCATATCTCCAGTGTGATCGGACTTAATGAATATTTTCCTCGTTATTAGCATTCACAATCTTATAATCGAGATGGATTAATAATAATAATAATTAGCTCAGAGTTCAAATGGTTAGGAGTTGAAAGTTGAAATCTGGTACATAGTTAGTGTACGTACATTCTTATGACGTATCCTAAGAAGGGATTCTTCGAAATTCCTCTCGCGGGAGAGAGGGAGACTGTTAAGGATTACCCTGAAGAACTCCGTTCTACCGTATTATTCTAGATGCGGTTTTCTGCGTTTTTGCGAAAAATTGAACATATTTTTAGACCCATGTAAAATTTCTCTAATTAAGTCTCGAAAGAGGGGGGACCTAATTATTGAACCCAGTGAAAACGGGTAAAAATTGGCTATAATCTAATAATAATAATCTTCGTTATCGTTACTTTGTGCCCGAGCAACATCTGGCTCATCTGCTACTAGTTTTATATATATATATATATAAAATTCGTCTTTACCCGCAAAATTAAGCTTGATTTCTAATATGAGTACAGATTGAAAAAGAAATCTTACAAAAATTGATGATGATATTTACTATGCACTGGAAAAAATACTTGAAGAGTGGACCAGTCTTAAAGTTTGGATGTTAAAACGGCAATACTACACTATCTAGACCACGCATGGCCAACATACGGCAAGTCTAATGAATTTATGCGGCCCGCGATTAATCTTTCAATATTAGCTACTTAAGTCCGAATATTTCGACGAAAAATCCTGACGCTAAAAGAAAAAGGTCGTCAACAACTAACTGTGCGTTTAGAGTTAACGCTTCATTACAAATGTTTTCAGCACAGCGTAGAATGTTGATAATACATGATAATGTAAAAAATGAAAAATGTATCTAATATCTAAGTACAATTTAGTCTCTACGGGGTGACACCAAAATGAGATTATCCAGAATATAACATTGATTTTCATAGCATTTCCACCAACCAAGTTTCAGTAGAGCGTTCATTTTCCGCTCTTAAAATTATTAAATATGATTTAAGAGCTTCGGTGAATGCTGACTTAATAGAAGTGATTTTTTTTTGTAAGGAGTAATTCAGTTTATAACAGAGATGAAAAATAATAAATTAATCAACATGGCAAAGTAAGCAACCTTTTTCTTTACCAGTCTAAATGTTATATTTCTTGTTCTTGGCTTAGTTTAATATATCTGTATTATCTGTATACTTATATATTACCCAGTATACTCGTTTATTATGTACAACATTATTCATATGCTTACCAAATACCATTGACATAATCAAACAAGTCAATAAATGTGAATTTATATATTCAGTAAATCTGTCAAATTTTAATGTTTAATTAATTTTTTAAAATCGTTTTATTTTGTATTTTAAAAATAATCAGAATCGTCGTCATTATTACTTTCCCGGCTGTTATACAGTATAGGCCTATAACAAAGAAAAAGAATGACGATCAGTCAAAAAAATGAATCTCAGATTTTTACTCTTTTGGATTCGGGAAGCTTTGAAATTCGGAGTTTTTTCTGTACGCGCGGATGTTAGAATATGTACCAGCCGATTTAGTTCAACCATTTTCAAATTTAATAACTCCTGTGTTAAACCATCCGACTCCGATACAAGATTGTGCCTCCCATATAGTCTAACATTCGTACATACAAAAAGAAAAACCTGAATCTTTTGCATATCTCGACATTTCGAGGTGTCCCGAGTCCAAAAATGCAAAAATTTGTGGTAGGATCATTTTTTGACCGATCACTACACTTTTCCTCTGTTGTATATAACGGCCGGAAAAGAAAAAAATTATCGAATACATATTTATATATTGACTATGTCATTACTTACAGGAGTATTTTAGCTTTGGAATAAAAAAGTTTCTACGTTCTAACTTTATTAGAACTATATTTATTGAAGTTTATATTCTGAGGTCATGTGATGACGTCAGAATTTTCGGGACTACTTTGTTAACAAGCCCCCCCTGGATGGCCTTACCTGACACCCACATTGGCATCTAATAGAATCAAATTAATGTTGATTACATTTAACTCTCAAAATATTATGATACAAACAAAAATTTTCACGGAACAATCCGGTACAAGCAAAGATCAATCGGTCCACGCCATTTTTTTAATCAGCAGAATATCTGGGATCAAACAATTCGCAGGAAACTCGTGAATATACAGAAGATCAAACTTAATGTACTGTACGTTAATTTGGCTCTAATCCCAAAAAATATCACAGTACAAACGAAACTAATCTGTATCCGGTACAAATGAAGACTAATCTTTCACATCATTATTTACTCGATAAAAATATCCGGAATACAAAAAACCAGAGGAAACTGAAGGTCTGGATCAGGGTCAACGTACCGTACGTAGATTTATTCTGCTCTAATCCTAAACGTATCGCGGCAAGAACGTGAGTTTTAGTTGATAGAAATATTTGGCGCCTACTTCAGGGCATCAAACAGGATGTGTGATATGAAACGGAAGTGCATAGGCGATCACAATGGAGGATATGTTGGATAACTGATGATGAATTTAATAAGACTGTAATATATATATATACACATATAGCAATAGAGCAGTAATAATAAAAATTTCACCTAGATCATTGGACTGCAATTTGAAAACATTGTAGACATATGAATTCCTACTGTCCGTCCTTCCTTTATTTTGAGAACGGAGTCATATAGACGAAAGACGAGACCAGGTATGGAAACCTTTGGGGTAGCAGACTCCGATAAACTATATACAAACTTCCGATGCAAACTGGAAGTCATGTTATTTCAATTCAAAAATTTTCCCTAAAAAGTGTTAGATAGATGACGGGCACGAGTCTATTGTAAAAGGAAAAGTATGATGTACTGTACAGGGGCAAGCCAATACTAATTTGAGGAGGAGAGCACATATTTTAAATTAAATACATTAAAAATATGATTAAAAATTGCAGCCCGGCATAGTAACGATGTCACAAAAAAATTTGCTCGTTCATAATAATGAACGAATATAAATATAATAATATTAATGAACACAATTAGTAACCAAATAATTTAAATTCGAAACCATTATTTGAAAATTATACTCTTAACAGCACAATAATATATTACTTTATTCTACATTTTTATGTGATAGATTTCTATAATTCGTTTAGACCAGCGATTCCCAACCAGAGGTACGCGCTTGGTAATTTAGGGGTACACGAAAAAAAATTATTAATGGCGGATGCACTATAATAATATTCGAATTCTGCGTTGAGGACTTTGACAAAGTCACAGCACTCAATGCTTAGTTTGAAATAAAAATATATGTAAGTATACAGACCTATAAAATTGTCCAAGATGCTACTGTTTGACAAACACGCGAAATTAAACTTAGCAAAAATCAGAAATGAGAAATAAAACTTAGGAAAATAGACTGCCAAGGGGTACTCAAGTCAAAAAAGGGTTAGAACCGCTGATTTAGACTATTTAAATTATTTGCATGTTTTATAAATCTAGAATTATCAATCTTAAATTTTTTCTTTATGATCATTCAAAAGTATTCAATCTGTATTAGTTACAATGATTTTATTTCGGATAACCAACAATAACGTTGATTATCTTGATAGCAATTATATAATTTTCTATTCAGTTAATCTTAAAATATCGTATTAAATGAATTACGTTGAATATTAGCATTTATTTTATGTACGGATCTATTATTTAAATAATTTTAAAATATCCTCTAACCTGTTGATAAGTCCAATGTTGGATGTTTGAGCTGTGGATTTTGTTCTGTAAGAATCTGTAACGTTAAAAGTCCAGACTTTCTTGTTACATTTTATCCAGCTTCTTGATTTTGAACACAGTTTGGCAGTACGGTTAATAAGACGGCCAAAATTCATCATGGAAATTCCTGATGCCAACATCGTTTCCTGTTATCGTCGTATGTTTATGTTTTAAATACAATATATCTGCATAACAAGATATAAAAATCGTTACTAAAATCGATCAAATTTCTATTTTTTATGAATAATTTACAAACTAAATTAAATGATGCATAAATTTACAATCGCTTAAATTTGTAAACCGTTACCCTTAAAAGGCGACGTACTACAGTACATTTAGTGCGACGACATGGGGATGGGAAGATAGCGTCATCTAGAGAGGAAGCATATCAAGGTCACATGACGAACAGTATCAATACAATATCGACCTTAGTTTTTCTTTTGCCAGAGGTGAATTCGAAATTTTCGATTGTTAGTATTACGTCACGTGGAGATCTATCGCACGAGACCAGTCAACTCGTGGCACCAAGAAAGCTAGCTTTCTTGGAGCCCTCTCGACCTACAAGAGTATCCCCGCGGCTTCAGATCCACATCCCACATCCAGTAAACTAGCTTTCCCCCGTGTGGTCTTGTTTCTGTCCAATCATGGCCTCAATTCACCGTCAAGATTCTAACGTAGACCAATACCGGATATGGAATTCGGATGACGACAATTAGTCACTTTTTCAATGCCTGTCCAAAAACAACATCCAGATTACTAATCCAACATACAAACTAAATCTGGTTTTACCGGACCAACAATCTTGATGAATTATCCATTTATAAACATCTCAAGTGCAATATATTCCTTACATCATAAAATCCTTGCTATTTCTATGACTAGACAAGGCCTGATATACATACAGTCCAAACAATCCACTCTCCCAGAGATTATACAACTTAAACAGATCAAAGACATTCATTCTCATTAGCATCAATTTCACAAAGGGCTCATACACTTAAGCAATTCATTGTCAAAGGAGTTCCAACCAACTTCAATGCATGTGACATAATGGAACAATTACATGAAGATAGCTTCTTCCCAATTATCATCCGAAGATTCAAAAGAATCGTCAATAGAATTTACTCGGCTACCACAACCATCAAGATAACCATGGAAACCGATAAAATCCTAAAGTGTATCAGGTTTTTTTTTACTTCCTATCGTACTGAGATATATCAAGAACATCCAAGACTATACCATAATATGCTTAGGATATACAAAACCCTTTTGTAAAATATTTTTTAAATGCAAAAAATGTGAAGATCCCCATGAAGCATATTCCTGCCCCATCACAGAACCTAAATGCATCAACTGTGGGGACTCACATTCCTACACATCCCTAACTTGCTCATTTTACAAATCTACCAAGGGTATTGTTCAATATCAACAGGAGTATAACCACTCTCCCAAAGAAGCTCACAAAGCACTGGCAACCAAACATGAAACCCCACCAGTCCATATAGTGAGATCATTCAAGATAAATTGTTTATACTTTGTTGGTGGAGAAATTTGTCTATTACACTGGAATTTATCCAAACCCAAAATTCTGAAATTTTACAACTATGTGAAATCCAAAATTCCATAAACATGCAAAACTAAACAATTCAGATCATGTTGGCACACTTGCAAGACATAATACAAACTTCTAAAACTCCTGGCAATTGTTCATTAAAATGTACTAACAAGAATCGCCCCATACCCCATTCCTAAATCCTAATCAGCAGTCAACAGAGAACACAAAAGACACACAAGAACCAACCCGATCAAATAATGTCACTCAAATTTCCACCAGGCATAAATGCAAAGAGTGCAAAGAAAATACTGGCATCAGTGACAAAAAACCAGTGGGACCCAGGAAAAAATCCAAATCAAAAACAACACATAATCAATGTCTCAAACAACATGAAACTCCTCTAATGGAATATTAATTATGTTGCATGCCAGATGATTTCTCCCTACCTGCGATTTTGGGGACCTGTGTCACCCCTGACCTAGACCCTAAGCAACCATTAACATCAATTTCTTTTACACTGTCAACGTCAGTCTTTTCACATGATTTCAAAAGTAAAGCTAGTGCATTTATCATTGTTTATTGTACTGTCAATGTTAAAGAACCTATTATATGTTAAATAAAATATATTCTTAAGTTTAAACAGGCATATTAAGGCATGTTTAACAATATTATTTTCAATTTCTTAAAAGCAACAGTTAATAGGTACAAAATATTATTTAAAATAGTCTGTTTTTATTCAATTAATTAAAATAAAATGAAACACAAAATTTAATTTATTCTAAAATATTAACAATTTATTATCAATTTTTTTACAAATAGTATTGTACTTAATTTTCTACATTCAGCAGAAATCTCTTTGCATTACTTTTTTACCCGTACAACCAAATGTAAAAAAATCCATAAAATTAAATGAATATAGTATATAGAATGCATTTAGAATACAGAACAGAGTGGAATAAACCTTACACTAAAAACTTTGTTTATAAAAAAAAAAAGATCAAATATTTAACACACAGACGATTTAAATTATATAATTTACATTATATAATTTAAATATACAGTTTAGTAATGGAAAAGTATTAAATTATCTGAATTTTTTAATACTTTGCAGTTTTTAATGTTTAGTTTCTTTTTTTACCCTATATTTTAATTTCAATTAATTAATAAAATAATAAATTTTAAGTACTGTATATAACTTATAAGCCAAACAACCACCACATTATATGGGCTACATTTTTGTGATTATATTTAATTAATTTCTAATTAATTCCAGTAATTGTTTGGCTTATTACAAATATATCAGGTTTAGAGATGTATATAACTTATTATCTAAATTTTGTACAAGTAAATTGATGTAGTTTTATAAAATTTAACATGCATACAAGGTCTGTTCAAAAAGTATCGGACCTTATTTTTTTCCGCGTAAACCAATGATGCGCGAGAGGCCTCCTTTGGTGGAGTTGTGGAGGGGACAGTCGTGCACATCTCTGAATTTTTTCCCGCCTGCAGGAAGCGTCAGTCGTTGGCAATCGGCCTATGAGTGAGGTCATGTAGAGCGCTCTCGTCGGATTCCACTAAGCTGAAAAATGACTGAACAACGCGAGCAGCGGTATTACATCAAATTTTGCCAAAAACCTTGGCGATACCCGAGTGTAAATCATTCGCAAGATTCAGCAGGCTTTCGGGGACGATCCTCGAGGCCAAAAAAAAGCGCGGCAGGTCTGCAGCAATATCAAAGGTCATGTTGACAGTTTTTTCGACTCTCGTGGGGTGGTGTGTCGTGAGTACGCACCACAAGGCCAAACCATCGCAAAGGAGTACTACCAGGAGGTCCTTCGTCGTCTTTCCGATACAGTGCGACGCAAACGACCGGATCTGTGGTCGATCAAAACTTGGCAGCTCCATCGTGATAACGCATCCGCCCATTCTGCGCATCTGATTCGGGCTTTCGTCGCCAAACACAATACTCCTGTGGTTCGTCACGCTCCGTACTCTCTCCACATGGCTCCGTGTGACCTTTGGCTATTTCTCAAGCTGAAAATGCCGCTAAAAGGAACCCAAATTTAGTCGAGAGAAGACATCATGCGAAATGCGACGGACCGGCTGATAACCATTCCAAAAGATGCGTTCCAGCAGTGTTTCCAGCAATGGCAGGAACGCTGGGAGAAGTGTATACATTACCAAGGAGACTACTTTGAAGGGGATTAGGGTTTTGTACCTCAAAGTCAATAAATTTATTTTTGCCGACCAAAGGTCCGATACTTTTTGAACAGACCTTGCATATCAACTACTAATATGTTCATTTCCAAATAATTATTGTTATCTGGATTTTTAAAAATTAATTGCACAGAATACTTATTGAAAAGACCATACAAAGTATATATCAACAGTATTATCACATACAGTATTCTAATTATCATACAAACATTTTTTAATTATGAAAAAACAATTTAATTAATGGAAAATTTCTTATAACAATATAATAAATTCTCCATTATAAACTATATTGTGAATATTTACAATATAATTTATAGTATTTTAAAATATTACTTTAATGTATTACAAATTATCAGTTTATTAAAGAATTAGTCATAAAAAAAATTAAAATTTCTGTTTTAGTAATTACATAAGAATTTGACAACAATTGTTTAAAAAACATACATCATTTTTATATTAAAAAAGTAAGTCTATATTGTCAATCCAAAGTTTTATGTTTTACAAGTAAAAAAATATTGATTTTTATTTATTTTCAAAAATGGTAAATCTATTTATATACATCTAGTATATAAATATATGTGAATCTATTTTATTTACTACCTTTCCATGTGTTTAATATATTTATTAACAAAGATTATTAACAAGTATTGCACTTCAACTTCATAAAATAACAAAAAATTAAAAATGTATAAATAAATTTGATAATTGCTATATTCTATTGTGAGTAATATTTGAAACTTTTAGTAAATATCAAGTTAGAACAAAATTAATCTACAGTTCAGTTTAAACTTTTAATAGTAGGTATATTGACAGAATAAAGTTTCCAAATATTAGTACAGGTAACCCCTGTATAACATGGGAATTACGTTCCAAAAAATTGCCATGTTATGCAAATCCGTGTTATACGAAACAAAGAACTAGTACAAAAAGGGGGTTTAGATTCCAAAAATTAAAAAACATGCTGTTAAATCCTTATTTAGATCGGATTTATTATTTATTTTTTCATAGGTAAAATACTTATTATTTAAATAAATATTTTACCAGAGGATTATTCATCCTATATGATGATCTCAGTATGAGCATCATCAACTGGTAACAGTTTTTGAATGTGTTCATTAATAGCGATTGCATTGCAACGGGAGTGCACTGCTGGTTGTAGGCATTTTGAACAACGGTGAAAGAAAGATGGCAGCGCCCACACTATTGATAGTATCGTGATGGAGGAATCTATAATTCTAAAATGAGCTTTTAGAGGCAAAAGAAGGGTCCCAATTGTAAAATTTAACCATTAAATGGATTATTTGTTGAAAGATCATTCAAAGTAGCCATGAAAACAATTAGAATGCTCACGCAGAGTTACGCGGAGGTATAAAAGAATGCACCCTTTATTACATTTCATGTTGTATGAGGATTTTACCCAATTCCCAAACCATGTTAGAGTGAACCCGTGCTATAAAAGCACCATGTTATACAGGGATGTTCCCAATTCTCAAACAGTGTTAGAGTGAATCTGTGCTATAGAAGTGCCATGTTATACAGGGGTTACCTGTATTTACAGATTATGTGTGTAGATTATACAGTAGAGCGTCATTTATCCGAATCAATTGGGGACTGGGGTTGTTCGGATAACTTATTTTTCAAATAACCGATTATGTACGAAAAAATATATTAACCTATCCCGTGTTGANTTAAAGATCAGAATGAAGTTGCTAGATACAATATATTAACCTAGTTGGTATTTGCATTTTATATATTATATCTAAAGTTGTAATGAAAGTATTAAAGAAAAAAGATATTTGGTTAGACTAAAATCTATTTGAATATAATATAATTTATCATAGAATATATACATATCTACAGTTTGTTGACTTTTAATGTAGGGAAAACAAATTTTAACATTGAAAAGAACCATATATTGGTAACCCCTGTGAGAATCTACAGTTAGAAGGAAAGTCATTTTTGGACAAATTAACAGAGGAGAGAAAAAGATTTAGATTAAAAGTTACAAAAATTTATTTTCAAACTTCAACAAAATTTTGAAAAACGGATGTCAAAAGAAACTTTTGATTTTAGAAAGGAAGTTGATTTCCTTTCCTACGGCCGACTCACGAGATGAGTAAAAAATGCGGCCTTTGCACATGCTATTTGGCCGTCAGAGAAGGCCAATATAAAAGAGACATTTTCCCACCATTCGAAGTGTTCTCCATACAATATAGAGTCCATCAATCGAAAGTCATATTACAGAGTTCTCCATACAATGTATAGAGTCCATTACACGAGGAGACCGTTATAAGAAGAGTTATTTATACAAAGAATTTGCCATAGAAAATATAAGAAAAAGAATGTCCACAAATAAGAAGATTCTCATGCATTGGAATATTGAATGAACTGGGAAGGTAATATATAACCACATTCCACTCGATTGTAAACTCTCTCTTGTTAGGTTTAACATAGGATATATAGGTTTAGGTTTAAGTTATTCATTCATTTGTATACTGTTAATATTTTTGATTTATTCATTCATTCATTTGTATACTGTTAATATTTTTGATTTATTAAATGTTTTTAGTTTATATTATAAATATGGCCTGGTTAATGTTAGATATTCACACTTCTGCCTATTCAAGTTACTTGTGTTCCTCATACTCACAAGTTGGCGATAACACGTATTAATCAGCGTGTAATAAAACTGATTAACTGGTGTTGGGAATCCTGATAAGGAAAAGGGTGATTACGTGATCATCTAATTCTGCTTTTGCTTTACTTCAAACTGTAAGTCCCTCCACACTCGATTTCTTTGATAGAAAAGCCATTCTTTTAGACCAATGGTTCCCAATTAGTGGTACGCATATCCCCAGGGGTACATGAAATTGTGTGAAGGGGTATGCGCAGCAATCTAAAATCAGTCGATTTAAAATTTAAATGCATGAGATGAAGCAATCAAAAAAATATTGGGTGGGCCATCAAACATTCAGCAATTTACAACATGATGTCAAATGCACAAATTTATTTATTTATAACTAAAAATATTCTCGAAATTTCATCAAAAAAATGCATTTGTGACAATACCTAAATGAAATTCTTACATAAGAAACAAAAATTGTACAATTAACACAATTTGTGTTAACTGTACAATTATCACTATTATCATGTCAACGAAGCGGCAATGAAATATTTACTACCATTTTGCACAACATACCTCTGTGAGAGCATATTTGAGTGAGAGAGGCCATGACAAATATGAAAACTAAACATCTCCGACTTCAACTCAAAGATGACTTAAGACTGAAGCTGACCAAAAAGCAACCAGATTTTACAAAGTTGTGCAAAGAAAATCATGCACATTTGTCCCATTAAAATTGAATAACCTTATGTTATTTTCATTATTGTTAGAATTGTATTTTAAAGGTAATAAATGTAAAAAAAAAATGTAAAAAAAACTTATTCTATTTATCACTAGCTGTCTACCCACAGCTACATCCGCATTATATCGAATTTTCTCGTGGGAGTAAGATATTTTCTCACAGTAAAATGTAGCCCATGTCCATCTCCAACATGTAAGCTGTCCCTGTGCCAAATTTTATTAAAACCTGTTCAGTGGTTTAGACGTGAAAAGGTAACAGACAGAATTACCTTCGAATTTATAATATTAGTATGGATTAATATAAATTTCTGCTATAAGGGGTACACGAGTTTGAACTCTTTCTTGAAGAGGTATGCAGGAAAAACTAATTGCTAAAACCACTCTAATAAACTATTTGCCTAACATAATTAAACATTTGTTTGGAAATTGTCATTTAAACAGTAATAATATCTGTACCATAT